GGGTAACTTCGGAGACCCTCGGATAGCTTTCGGTTAATCCTCGGAGTATATATTCGGAGCTCGTACACTCTTCGGAAAAATCTTGAAAAAAGAAAAAAGAAGAATTGAAAAACAAGCCTTCAAAAATTCAGGGCTCTCTGGGTAACTTCGGAAACCATCGAATAATCCGTGTTAATCATCGGAGTATATTCGGAGCTCGTATATTCTTCGGAAAATAATCGGAGTCGTTTTGAATTAAAAAAACAGACGTTGAAATATTCCGGCGGAATTCCGGATTCCGGCTTTTCCAGACTAGCATGCATGGATGAGTCCACGTCAGCTAGGAAGCTCTTCTATATGTAGAAACTCTCGTAACAGTCGATACATGTGAAAGTCGAGCTCGGCATTCAACAAAGTTTTTTTAGTTTTACGGTTATCAGTAACAAATAAAAGCGGCACTGTCAGAAGTAGGGGGCTATCTACACCAGGTGGGTAAAATTCCAGTTCATTTTTAGCAACCAGATTATACACAGTGGAGTAAACAAACAAATAGTCGAAGTTGGGAATCGAAATTATGCCCACCCATAGAAATGCGAGGTGGATTCACAACATTCTAACGACTCTTTTGGTCTTAAGAGCTAACGAAAACAGGGAGAAGAGGAAAATGACGATAATTGCTCGAGTATTTTTACTTGCATTGAGTTGATGAAGACAGTTGTTAAATCAACTTTCGAAACTGCATGATAGAATTTGAAGGAACTAGATGAAATGTAAAGACTTGAATCACGACTTAAAAACGTTTCAATGACTTATTGTTTTACGCATCCTTAAATCTTTTTAGATAAATCTTGTGAAGTGAAATGTTTGTAGAAACTTTATTCGTCATGTCCAATACTATTAGTTTGTTAACATGATAAACAATAACACGCTCTAGACCACCCAATTGTTAAGTTTACCAACGTAGAAGAACGATGAATGAAGCGCCGATATTTCGAATTGTCTTGCTCTTTTGGTCCATACCTAACCCTTAGTGGTAAAACTAAACTATCATTCAAAAACTTTAATGCTGAAACTTTCTGGCGAGTGCTTTTCAATCCGGGAATTTAAATAATTCTGTTGCTTTGTTAACTATGTAAACACGTGCCATATGATAATTCGCTGCCAATCACTAACCGCATTGAGATGACAGACATCACAATGTTATGACATCACAAAGCTTTAAAAATAAGAAATCTGGAACCTATTTACAGAATTATTTACCTAAGCTATTAACAGTTAAAATTATTTATCAACGTCCTAGAGTTAAAAATCAACTATTACCGAGCGCACATTTTAGAACCTCTGCCGCCCTTATTTAGGAATTGTATAGTACACTTTGATAAAATAGAAAACGTCACTATAACAAGCATGCAAAATTACGCAGGGTTTGTTCATTAGGTCACGGACGTCTGTCAGAACAAATTTTGAACAGGGATATTCATAATTAGTAAGAGCACTTGTCAAACGTGTCTTCATGACACGTTTGACATACACGTACATGATGTAGGTGAGCAAAGGAAGTAGAGACTAACAAGCGAACTGGAGCCTGAAGGCACATTTTGTCAAACCACCATTTGATCTCTACTGTTGTACCACACAACTAAAATACGTTTTTGGTAAAACGTTATTGGAAGAAAGAAAATGAAACAAACCAAAGAATGAGAGGAAACTTATGTTAAAGTTGTTCCCAGAAAGTTGGCGCAGTTTTTCCTCTTCATGTTGAAAGATATCGAACATATACTCTTTTGAAATAGGAGAAGTCTTAATAATGGGTGATTGCTTCGAGTCGTAGTCCAGGGTAAAGGTGAGCTCTTTCTCACGTCCTTTCTTGCGTCGAGGAGTTGAATAAATTTCCTATAATTACTTATCAAGATAAGGTACTCTAACATTTTCCTTTCCGTTCTTTTAACTGAAGGTCTTCTTATGTACCCTGCGAGCAGAGCCTTTTTAACCCGTCCTCGAATCGAAAAGGGAAAAAGGCTCTGCCGAGATGCTGTTGTTGCTCGTTTGAACATGCGCGGCCGTTGCCTAGAAACTGATCCTTTTCCAGGCCCCCTTGAACTATTGTGGGCGTAGATTTGGTCATCCGTGTACATGAAAAACAAAGGCGTGCTCACCAAAACCAGTTTGACTGGAGGCAAAACCGGCTTGACTAGCCCAAAGTTTTGGGCTTTCGGCATTTCAAAGCAACAACAGGATGTCGGCAGAGCCTTTTCCCTTGGAGGGTTAAAAAGAAGAAAAGGCTCTGCTCGCAGGGTACTTCTTATTTTGGTCTAAGTCATGAACTCAAAGTTCTAGTTTGTAAGTTACATCTTTGTATACAAATTAAACTGACTTTACACCCTAGGGCTCGACCCAGGCCATGCCAGCTGTGACGACCTCTCGGTTCAACACTATCGAGCTGCTAGGTACCGAAAATGGGGACAGTTCTGCAAGTTGTTTCTAGCTGTGGATGCTGTTACAGGCCAACCCGCCGAGATAGTTCCAGTGGAGACACCAGATACACAGAAAACAGTTGGCTACGAATCGTGATGTCAAAATTGCGGCGACAGACTGGGACACCTGCGACTCTATCACGGGACAAAAGAACCGAAGAACAAGAGCTCGGATATGATCATTTTGCTTGGAAAAACTCATCCATATCATTGGAAAGTCAAGTATTTAAAAAGCAGAATGATGAAGATTTTAAACGCATTTCTATTTAAAACATTGTTTCTGACGCATTCTGTCCTTTTTTGTGATTTCTAAGGATTGTTGTCAGAGGGACCAGTCATTGTGTATTATCCTGGGGGGGGGAGGGTGGAGGGGTAGAGGGTAGAGGGGAGGAATTTTGGGTTTTTCAGGGCATCAGAGGGGGGATCAGCTATCGCCAACAGAGTACGTATAATGACCGATAAATAAGACCGCTCTCTTTGGGTTCTCCTTAGCGATTTATGAAAAGCGAAGTGAGCAATACTCTAAAAATTGAATTTTTGTTTTTTTTTTAATGTCAAAATTGATAATATTGATATTTACAATGAAGGTAGAGAGGATGCTCACCTCAACAGTGTTGCACCAGAGTTTGGTTTCATTACAGAACACCCTTAATTTTTACATACGTCACTTTAATTATAAATGATTGGCTAATTATGTATACTTATTTAATACGTTAATGCTACCGATAAATGACGTTAATGCCACATATAAATGTAATGACATTATCTTTATGGCTACATTGGGAACTCTGCGCCGATCGAATGGAAACTTTCACGCTGAGTAGAATTCAAATTCAAATTGATGTTTATATTTCCGTTATTACAGCGCAGAAAACTCAACTTAAGCCACACAACCTTTTAGCTTAAAACGAAAAAGACGAATACGAAAGAAGTACCGACTTGAACTCCAAGTTTTTTTGTTCCGAACTCGAGTTGTGATTGGTTTGAGTCACTCTATAGTTTGCACTGCAAGTTATAGTTCGTATACATGCAATTTAACCTATAAAATCTCTTTTCATACTACCCTTGTTTTGTGGACGTTTGCCTTTTTAAATAAAACGTGTTTATCGTACACAAAGACATCATCTGAGCCTGCTGTTAATCGAATGCGTACCACTCGATTGGAACCATGTAGCCTGGCCTGCCATATTTCACCAAACGAACTTCGCACAAGACACGTAATCAGTTGGAAGTCATGTTTCTTCCACTGAGATGAGTTACGGCAATGACGACTTCCTACGAAGCAATTGACACGTAACAATTCAAAAAACCCAGTTTGCAGCTTGCACCTTTGGCTCCCCCTCACTTGACACACACGGATGAAAACAATCTGGGTCTAGTAATTGAAATTGAGGCTTCCCTGTAAGAGTCCTGTACACTTATCGTCACCGATATAACTAGTAAAAATAAGTCTTGTTGAATAGACTTTTGTTCCTGCAAGAAAACCTAAATAAAACAAGACGAACTTGAAAGGAAACTTTAAAGATAATTTTCATGATATTTGTTCATTCACCCCAACCCTCCCACCCCCCCTCATTGTTTGTCATATTCGCCTGTTCTCATTTGTACTCTACCTTCCTGCGGTCACTATCAACAGCTCTCGTCCACCATCCCAACCTATTTCCTTTCCGGTGTCGTTGAGTGTATTCGCCAGGTCTTCCATTATCTTTATAGACGAGCTTTCATTGACAAATCGTCTTTCACTCCGGTATTTCACTAGCTAGTCTTAACCAAGACAGTTCTTGTATGTGGAGAGGAGTAGAATCATTTTTTTCACACGAGGGGAGTGGTCCCTTGAGAAAAGGATAAGCTTACCTTTATCGCAGACCCGCAGTGGATACGAATGCCTCCCTTGTCTTGCCGTTTTTCTGCGCCTTTTATTCAGAATTATCATCAGACCCAGTATTACGATGGCAGTCAGGAATATAATTATTGTTATTGTCACAAGATGAGCCCAGATCAACCATTTTAAATTCATAATGGCCTTTTTAATATCTAAGAAACAAAAACAAACATCATTAGTCCTTTTCTGACGAGCACGTTGCACTTCACAAAGTAAATACTTGTCTCAGGGGCAGATCTGGCTGGAATCTGATGACAATTTAGTTTACCGCTAAAATGCCCCGAAGGACTGAGTCTGCCCAGAGACTGCCGTGGATTCATAATTTTCAATTTGAAATAGTACTTTTTTTTTTTTAAAAAAGAATAATTGAGCGGCAAAGCCAGCTACTGATCTATCTCTAAACTTCGTTTATTTCTCCGAGCAAGATTGTCAGATAAGTGCAGACTGCAGCGACTTTAACTGAACAGAACTTTAGGAGAAAATTATCTCAAAGCAGAATATTCCACGATCTCTCTATAGGAAGTGAGCAAAAAAAATTCCCTCAACAATGTGCATAAGATCTGCACAGAATCCTGCGATTAAAAAATATGCTGTGTTAATTTTGGAGCGTACAGTTTAAATGTCTAATGTCTAATTTTAATTTTATGTCCATGAACGTTATTGTTTGAGCCGCAAGAGTACTGTGGTTCTAAGCAAGCCCTCTTCCTCATTTCAAAGGTTTTAATCTTACCAACGGAGAGTTTTTGTAATAGAGGTCGCATTTTTAATTCGATTTTCCGTTATTAACGTTTGCCAATAACCTCTAGTCTCCAGTCTCCACTAAATTTTTTTCAAACTTCCCAACCCGTGTCTTCTTCTGATCTGCCTAATGCGTGAGATTGTCGTTTTTTAATCTTCAACTATGATCAGGGGCTGGAGAAGCAAAATAAATATATCAAAGTTTTCCTAACCGTCCATCGTATGAATTTTGTCCTTCTCTTCTTTTAAAAACATAATGACATTACGGTTGCAGTTGTCTTCAGTGCAGCAACAGTAGTAAAGGGGTTGTAATTTACGACGGTGCTTTCTTTGTCCATTACAGGCAGATGATTGAGTGCATTCTTTACCAATCTGATATGTACATCCCTTTTTCAAGACAGTTACTCCTCCCTCTTTGTTCTGAGCCAACAACGCATAACACGCGAGAGTCGAACCAGCCCAAGTCTCATCACACTGCTGGAGCGACGAACATGTTGAGTTTTCCGACGAAGCGGAGTGGAATGTTTTACATTTGTGATCGTATGACTCACATACCAATGTCCTGCTCTCAGCTACAAAACCTGAGAAAAAAAAACTTTCGAATGTTCAAAGCTTAGACTACGTAGCTGCTTTTGATGGTCAGCAGCCTTGTCGGGCAATCCCTGGTCACGCCCAGGCAACTCCTCGAGTATTTGAACTTTTGAAGATTTGTTCCGTTAAAATCCCCTCCCCCCTCCACGGGCAAAAATTACTTTCAAATGCCCCACTCAAGCCCATTTTTTTTATCGAGTGACTCGTTGTGTGATCAATGAATGAATAGTGCACTTTACATAACAAAGTCACGTATTAGTTTTTGGTGATGCTGTTGGGTTTTTCGCCTGTAACGTCCTTCTACATTATGAAAACTTTCTTTCGAGCCATTTGCTCTCGGAAGTGGACTCTTTACCTTTAATCTCCTCTGAAATTAAAATAAAAACACGCGATCCCCCCCTTCCCCCCACTGGTTTAAATTCCCCACTCCGGGGCACGGACGACAGTCAAATGCCCGTGAGATACCGGGGGGGGGGAAATGTTGAAGCTTCGAATTGATCGCCGCATTAGAGGTTTTTTTCTATAACACATGTCAAGTAATGTTTAGTTGCCTTTTAAGTCGTCCTACTTTTGTTAGGTTTTGATGAGGTTACGGTTTACTACAGTTTGTTTGGTTGTTCTGCATTAGATGTTTTTGGGGTCATGCTTTACTCCCAACAATTTTTTTTCTCCCCATGATATTAAGTAAGGTGTTTGGTGTGGTCACGCTGAGTTACATGACTCATCCGTCACCATATGTCAGCTGTTAGGTTGGGTCACACTCTTGAAGTTAGATGTTTCTGAGGTCACGCGAGGTTGGATTTTTTTTTCTTCCGTCACGCGATGTCGAATTTTTTTCTTCAGTCACGCGACGTTAAATGTATTTCTTTCAGTCGTGTCGTGTGTCTGTTGAGTTTCAAGTCCTAGAAAAGTTATGTTATTTAATTATTGACCCCAACATGAAAAACATGTACATTTGAGCGCAGATCGTGATGTGATGATTCTACTTACAGAAAATACAGATCCACCACAACCAGCTAGGACTCATTATGTTTCACTGTGATGATAGAACTGCCAACTTCTAATGAAATGGAGATAGGACATTTATTAACAAAACTGTATTGCAGAGATAAAAGGAAAACAAAAAAATCTTATGGAGAAAAGTTGCGGGTCGCAATAGTCATGAATAAATAAAAACCTCTTCAAAGGGTAACGCGTCGTAAAGTCGACCGCGGGTCTGAAGAACAAATACGATCACAGCCCCGACTCGTTAGCGGAGTACAATTGAGGTCAATTACAGCATTTAGAATCATCATCTAATTTTTCTATGTGTGTTTGAATCTAAACTAACGCTGAATTTGGCCAGTTTACAAACTGGCTCTAATGATATTACAAAACGGGGCTCTAAGTCTCTCGAATATTTTAAGAATAGCAGGTCCCGTTCATAAGAGCTTCAGTGAAGAATTGAGAAATACGTGCTCTCAATTCAGGATAAACTCCAACATCAGCCTCAATGAGATTAAAATGAAAGCTTTGACAGAAAAACCATTTCGTGGTGAAATGGCAGTGACTTAATTTCGATTTCCTCGCTCTAAACTTGAATTTTTCTTTCATATTAATCAGTACGCCTGTCGGCTTAATGCGATTTAAAGAATTATGTATGTGCAACAGACATGCAAAATTCAGATAATAAAATCATAAAATCAAGAACAATTTTTTCAACTTACTGGATAGAAATTGGTAGTCCGAAGCGCTAATTTGTCGGACGCGACGTGAATAAAAGAATATATTTATTTAAGCGTCCGCTGCCTTTTTTTTTTATGTCTAGTCCAGTCTAATTGCAGAAAAAGTACTGTCAATCAACGTAAGTTGAAAGCCAATCAAAGGATAGAACAGTACTGAACTGGAACAATGGAACACTTCTTTCGAGTTTTAAGATTGCAAGGGAGATAACCTAAAATTAATATAATTTGCCATTGACTGAAATAAATGTTTAACATAACAAAAAAAAACTCCACTTACTAAGTTCAGTTTTTTTTTTTCCAACTAAAAATTTGCATAGTTTTCACTTAATCATATGACAGGATAAAAAAAAGAAAAAATTGATGCAAGAAAAAAGTGGGACTAGTCATCGAAGCGAAACCTAAAAAAACAGAGCAGAGTCGTGATTCAGAGTTCTTTAAAGATCTTCCAGACGAAAGGTGGTAACTTAAATTTGAGAGATGATAAAGTAAACACGGGAACAGGTAAACAAAGAACTGTATAAGATTGCGCAGGTGGCTAGGAGAACACCAATTACCTAACTAGAAAAACACATGCAATCATTCGTTCACAAATTAATTTACGATGTGAGCTGTTTTTTCTTTTCTTTTTTTGCATTGTCAGGAAAGTCCTTTACTAAGGCATTCACGAAGATAATTAAGGTACGTTGGAATTCAAAAACTAGGTTTTCACAGTTATCATATCAGTGACTGCAGCTGAGTTACTTGATATTGAAATTAAAATACAAAATTAATTAATAAATGGTTACTTTGTGTGAGACAAATTTTTCTTTTGGTAAATTAAAATACTGGTTTCATTCAATTGATTTAAACACATTTCCATAATAGTACATTACAACCCCGACCGAGTAAAATTCTAAAATTTTTCAAGCACTTTCAGTTTAACGGTTAAGCTTTTATTTCACTTAACACTTGGCACGGGACTTTGCCACTATAAAGTTGTGTCAATACTTCTTTGTTTTGAGCCTTTGATGAGCCGAACACTTTGTAATTCCTCTTTCTTACTATAATTGTGTCGGAAGGTAACATTCTGAAAACATTAATCTGGCGTTGGACGCTTTCTCTTAGCTTAGAATTTAGTATGTGCCAGGCGATGAAAAATAGCAGGAGCATCGGGAGAAAGAAAATTTAATCACCGCCCTGTGTCAATAGCGCACTATTTCGCTCGCATTGAGTCGACGTTTGTCGCGTGAGATCATAATAAAAAAGAAAAATCGAATTACACAGTTTTTAAGGCGGTGTTTCAGCGGTGTTAGTATTTCGGCCAATGTACTCAGTCACTCCCAATGGTTGCTTTGTTTCCGAACAGACAAGTGATTTAGACTCCGCACGGATTCTGACCTGACCGATTAATCTAACCCTGGTAATTTGGTAACTTCTTGTATCCAGTACTTTTGCGATTTGATTGAAAAAGAGGTCTGGGTTTGACCACTGTCGAAACTTGAACAACACGACAATCTATTAGAGGTCCATGAAAATGTTTTAGGAAAGCACCGTCTTGATTCATTTCCACAAATATATTTGCGTCAAATGAATACTGAAAAATTATGTTTCTGCCTCCAAGTGCTAAAGCTTTGACGTGGTTTACCCATATGCTGTAATCCCTCTATCCGTAGAATAAGCCTAATATTTTTCCCTCAAAAACTACAGCGTGAATATACATAGCTCTACTTTTTCATTGACTCTAGAAACTATCCAAACGAAACATTTCTTTGGAGATTCAAAGTCTTCCAGATATTCTCGAACAGAATAGTGCTTACTATCTCTTGTCACTTTTAACCCACCCCTCCCTTCTCTAAAATTCTTTTACGCTTCCTTTGCGAAACCAAGGGGTACAATTGACAACCAAACTTTCAGTTGTGCCAGACTTACCAAGAATAAAATCATCCCTCCATTTTTTCCTTAGTTTCGGACTGGAAGTCGCAAATAATTATAAAGACAATGAAATTAATTCGTTCGTCCAGACCTCATTTTGTGAACACTTAAATCGACTCTAAAAAATCAATCGTCAATGACTTTTTTATTTACACCCGCAGCTCGTATCGTCTTGCAATGTATTATTAAAGATAGTTGAGCTTCCTTGAACAATCTTTTAAGTAGCACGTGAATATTCAGACATAGGTGAACTTTTTTACCTTATGAACAAGACGGAACTACCTTTTGAAAAAGTGACAAATGATTGAATATACAGCATCCGAAGGAACTCTGAAATTAAAATACTTACTATGTACAGCTTTAAGATATGTCCTTGTTATTGTTGCTCAGTGGATCAATTTCACCATTGCAACTACTACTACAGCGACTAATAAAAAACCTTAATAAATCCAACAATTTCGAATGTCTGACATGTCTCTGTTTCTGGTGGCTGTCACTCATCGAGAGTTGACCAATCACAACAGAGTTCTAGAGTAATAAAACTCTTTTCGGTGCTTTGATGTGTTTTTAAAATAAAAAAAATATTTTAATTAAAAGGTATTTTTTTAGCTATTAGAAACTGCATGATACCCACGTAAATGATAATTTTTCTCTTTCATTTCTCTTGCGTGGCTTTAAAAGCCTATTGGTAACTTTTAAACTCTTGGTTTCTTTTTGATTTTGTAAATGATGTCAACTGAGTCGTAACGATCAAAAATGCGTCTCCACAGCAGCATCTCTTCCGAGAAGAACATTCATAGACATCAATGATCTCAACACTTCCTTTCGCTCATCCTCGAACCAGTCACGAAATTTAAAGCTACTCTCTTAGGGGCCGACCATTTAACTCTTGAAAGGGGGGGGGGGGCGATTTTGAAAAAAAAATTTTCTGCAAGCGCTTGTTGGAAGAAAAAAATTCCATGGAGCCCCAATATAACGGAAAAAAAAAGAGCATTTAGAACGGAAAAAATATCCTGCCCATCAGATTGTTAGAAAAAAATTTCTTGATGACCAGAAATCACCCCCTCCCCCCTTCAAAAGTTGAATGGTCGGCCCCTTATCGCGAGAAGTCAAAACAAGTCGAAATGGAACAGATGTATACATATCATTTAATTTTATGCATGCATAATGGTAACTAATGTATGTCTTACATCAAGCCTTTTCGCTCACCTGTACTTCTGCGTACTGCGTACAAGAAAAGAAGACTTTTCAGGTGGTGAAAAAGCAAAATCATAAAAAATCGTGGGATAAGATTGAAAACAGAAACGGCATGCTAAGCCGTATTTCTCTTTTCAAAAGTAGTTTCGTAATTGATTTTAGTTTGTTGTGTAGTTTTACCTCCAGGGGTTTGTAATTTCAATAAAAAGAATGTCTTTCAGGACTGAAAACATCGAACATTTTGTGAATCTAGTGATTTCCTGTGTAAGCGTGCAGTACTAGCAATTTTCAGACTCCCTGAGATTGATATACCTTACCACAATTCTCACATGATTTTATCCTACAGAAGGAAATAAAGTGAACGAATTTTAATCTGTAAAGTATCATCGCCGTAATGCCTCCAGGTAATTTTTGGAAACTATTTCTTCCTTTTTTTGAGAGTTTCATCCAGGAATTGTGGCGAAATCGTCCCCGCAAGAGTGCAGAGGTATTCTGGAAAAAATAACTTTCGTTATATCTAGATTTGGCCGAGTAACGAAGCAAGCAAAGAAAATAAATAAAAGTCCTTGTTCATTTCTTTTTCAGGTTAGCGTTCTCTCAGCCTGACCATGAAAGAGAAATTTTTTTTATCGAGAACTGAAAGCATAGTTACCGCAGGCCGCGGTGCATAATATACTGCGCGATCTTTCTTTGCAGAGAAAACAGTAAACATTTTTTATCATTTCTTATTCCCTAAACACATTCATTCAATTTCCAGTTTTGAGTTTTAAATCGTACATACCATGTTTACGAGTTGGCGGAAAGCGAAAGGCTCAGTGGCAGACATTCACCTGAAAGAATTAAAATTGCTAATTTCGCCTCAGGTGTTTGTCACCAATTTTAACCACTTAACTACTGACACAAAGGTCATTTATTTTCACGACCAACTTCTGAGCAATGTTTTTCCCCTTCCCCTCAAAAAAAAATATCTTTTGAATTACTTTGAGGAAATATGGAGAATATCGTTCATATGGCTTAACCCACTGCATTGCGCCTTCGTAAACTTAATGGCGCGCAGGTGTTTCGATTAAAAAGAAAGAAAGACTAGAATCGAGAATCGAACCTGGACGTCTCTTTTCTCGGAATCTCTCTTCTCTACAGATAGAATACCACACTGGTCTGACAGAATTTCAAAGAATTAAAATGCATATTTCAATTACCTGACACGTATACAGTAGTAGGTCTGACACGTATTTGGTAAGTAACCCCTTCCTGAAATGTTAACGAGGCGGTAGCTTTAGCCTAAATTCTACTCAGTCTGAGTCCACGATTATTATTTTTTTTTGCCCTATTTCATCGTAACCCAGAACACATTTTTCTTCTACCTTCATTATTAGCTGAGTTACTATCGTTGATGGCTACTGTTTGGCCTCGTTCTGAAGTACACCGTTGGTTTTTTTGCCAGGTTTTTATCGAACCATGTGCTCTCTTTGATTATAATTTTTGATATCAGACTATAATGGTTTCTGTCCAAAAAACATGCCATGTAACAGCACAAACGCCATATTTCACAACAATATCAAAGCTTTTTCTAACAGTTATGACTACCAAACAAACATTTTCTGAGCCGTCCTCAACACATTCAACTGAGGCAATGAGCACGCAGCGCCCCTCAAGTGTTGTTTTTAGAGAGCTTCCTTTGTTTCCATTTTCAGGCTCTTCTATCGTCGTAATATCTTTTGACGGAAAAAAAGTCTCAACCTGCTTACAAAAGAACCGAACAAAGTAGAAAAATGCCCCAATTAAAGGACTTCAACGGGAAACCAGACACTATTTTCTTCCTTTTCGTGCAACTCCATTTTTTTTTTCATCCATTCATCTGAGCAACACTTAGCTCAACTTCAGTCACCAATCAATTTAAAACTGAAATATAAGCCGAGAATTCCACTGGTTTCTTTCCTTTCTCTTAAGCCTTACAGTGCAAACGTGCAAGACAAGAACACTGAGAACCACTTCGTTGCGGTGGTTTGTACTTTTAATATAAGTTAATTGGCAGTTTGGTTCACGCGGTAACCTGTAGCGACAAATCCTTTCACACAAAGTAGTCTAATTTCCCACCGACCATCATTGTAAAAAAAAAAAAACAAAAAACAGAATACCCGAATTTTGAATTGAATGAATCCATGGTAAAAGAGCGTGAACGTTATACGTTATACGTTATACATTGCCCTTATGGTTCAAGGTAACCTACACGAACAAATTCAGAAAGGTATTTTTCGTCTTGTCACGAGCGTGGGAAAGGTCTCCATGAGGAATCAAACCTCAGATCTTCGGATTCTGCACTCCGATGCTTTCTCAAAGTAGTTTTATCTTAGCTTTTAACTGGTGTTTTCCAGCGACCAACATGGTAAAAGACACAGGTAAAAGTGCGTAAACCATTGTGAACGTTCCACATATAAAAAGAAACGCGACAAATTAACGCTAGGTGGAACACGGGAGACAAATAACTATAGAAATAATGGAAAGCCTGACAAATCATCGAACTGAAATGAAACTGCCCTCGCATAATACACACGTTGCCGGCTAACAAGTGTTTGTGAGATTTACTAAGTGCAGTTTGTAAGCCTTTACCTGTTAGAGGGGGGCTTTGGGATTTTCGTTTTTGCGGTTTTGACTGTTTTTTGGATCGGTTTTTCGGTTTTTGGGCCAAAAAGGTTCGGCTTTTCGGTTTTGATGTTCAGAGCAGTTTGCGGATTTTAAGTGTTTTTGCATTCGGTTTTCAGTTTTTACGAAAACTCTGATGCGGTTTTCGGTTTCTCATTTTTGACCCCTTTAAAGGTGAAAATGTAGCGGTTTTCGGTTTTGCTGCCTGTTTTCGTCGGTTTTGGAGGTTTTTTTTTTCCGGTTTTTCGGTTTTCCAGAGGCCCCAATGCCCCCCTCCTGTTCTACACCTTTCAAATTTGCAAAAAGATTCCTTCCAAAAATAGAGATTATTAAGTCTACATCTTCTTTACTTTAAATGTCCTGAAACATCGGCCATTTTGTGCAACCTGATTGCAACGTTTGAAATTTCCTTTGCTGCAGCATAAAAGAAATTTGGTTTTATCAACTGAGTTTATAATGCAAGTTGGCCACCGCGTGTAAAGACGGAGTTTCAAACCTGACGTTTCGAGCGTTAGCTCTTCGTCAGAGCGAAGTGCAGCACCGCATTTTCTTTAGAAACTTAAAATGTTTACTGAATGTTTATTTGGTTTGTAAACTTCTCGTGTATTTCTTTTCTACAATTGCTCTAAATGTGATATCTTAACCATTTCTGAAACAACTAAGACAAACACCTGAATGCCATTTTCTAACACCAAAGTGTCAGCCAGTGCCTCATTTCGCATGGTTCTAGCTCTGAAATGACTATTAATTGTTACGAATGACATTGGTTTCTGTGCTGTTATCGTTGTAGAAGCATCATTGTGCTTACTTCGCTGAACGATTCTCATTAGAAACATTCAGATCTACTTGTGAAATCATTTAACTGATCCGGCTGAAAATTATTCAAACTGATATCTCAGATATACTCTAAGTAGGTTTTGCCATTTTGTAGTCGCAGATTACGATATTCTCTAATAGCTACCTGGACAACTATTGATCCACAACTCTTTTTGTCCACCGGATTTTTCGCAAAGTATGAATTTTTGACCAAAGCAACCTGTAAAATATCTGTCCCAATTTCATGTCTTTCATGCTAAACCAGGTTCAAACAATTCTCAATAATATATGAATAATAAAAAGAGGACAAACTCTGACCTGGCGGTTTTACTGAGCCTTTCCGTTCAAAGCCAAGCAGCGAAATGAAATATTTACCCGCGATACCTGATGAAATATTGCCTCCCGGAGGCACTGTCAATCAATTCTTTGAATGGTTTCCTTTTATATCAAACGTGAAGCCAGCGCATATTTACTTACAGAAGTTTGTCTGGAAATGAAATGGGTGTCAGTTAAAGCTGTGGGGTACCTGAATGTTTGGGTTAGTTTTCGTGGAAACTCGACCAAATAGAGTGGAGGGGAACAATGGATTTATGTATTGTGACCTTGGGCTGTATTAATTCATTCAAGCTCTAACCGTAATTCATGAAAACGTGAAGCGTCTTAAACTGGTCCGGATCTCTTTTAAAGGATATTCCTTCGCAAAATATACAGAGGTAATTAACACGTGAGTGGGAATAAAGGCGGATCAACGTTTGTTTATCGACACGTTTTAATGCAAAGTGTTACGTTGCCTTCCCCTAACGTTTGTCTCTTCCCACTCTGGTAGAGCATTTTGAACCATTTAATCTTGCCATTATCTAAAAAGAAGCACGTGGTTTTAGTGTATATTTATAACTATTTTGCGCTCAAGAGGTTGATTGGAATATACAGCCTTGAAGTCTGGTAGTTTCTGTGGGAGGTAAGAAGTTTGAAAATCCTTTTTTCGTTTGGAACCAGAATATTGAATAAATTGTTGTGGAGTGTTACTAGCGTCCAGGTATTTCAAACGTCTAACCAACATGAAAATTTGACGAACGGGTCATTCGTCACCTGTGCTTTTCAAGCTTGAACTTGGCTGACATCCGAGAAAAACGAAAACAATGACAAAGAAAAACCTTTGAGTTAAAGCCACCTTAAAATAAACTCCGAGAAAAACGAACTTCCAAACCCTATGTCCTTAGAACAATAAAAATAAATTTGAATAAACATGGCAGACGTGCTAATTAAAATTACAGAGGTTGAAAGCGGATTTAGATAATTTTTAACTTTAAAACAAGATTGTTTCGACTGTGTTGTTTGGTTAGATTCAGTTGTGTTTCGAAGATACACTCAAATATCAGGAAAATCAACCGCAGTGGTAACGCACGGAAGTTTTCGTGAGGTAATTTTTACTTTGCTCGACAAAAGCTGGCAATACTTTGCTCCGAACTGAGAAATGCATACAAGATTTGGATTGACATATTAAAGCAGTGCTGATACCACAAAAAATGCGATAATAAAAACATTACGCTTCATATACCACAGTCAAGGCTAAGTTTGGGGATCTCTTTTCGAGCGCTAGAGACTACGTACAGTGTATTTACCGACGGATGAACCTTCATCGAAAAAACACTGAAGAGTGAGCATATAAAGTGCCACCCCATCTTTTGTCCCTAAAATCTAACAATTGTATGAAAAACACTTACCTAAACACATGTCCATTCGTGATTCACGAGTCAAACTCCATAGAGTTTAAACTGGGCGTCAGAAAGTAAAAATAGAAGAACAGCGTGTACTCTCGCCTAACTTGGACGTAAATGAATAGCGCTTCGCTTGTATGAATAGGCCACCATTTGTTTGCTAACTGTCGACTCACTAAATTGCTGGTTACGGTCCGGAGACACCACAAAGAGGGTTCCGACGGGGAGTCGCGCAGCTTTGAGGGTATGAGATTGTCTACCTTGCTCGTTGCTGATTGCCAATTTTTCGCGTCATTTACAAAACAAAAACATTTTCCTCGCCGACAAAAGAGTTAGCTGTCCTACTAGAACATATAAAGTGCCAGCCCATCTTTTGTCCCTAAAATCTAACAGTTGTGTGAAAAACACTTACCTAAACACATGTCCATTCGTGATTCACGAGTCAAACCCCATAGAGTTTAAACTGGGCGTCAGAAAGTAAAAATAGATGAACAGCGTGTACTCTCGTCTAAATTAGACGCAAATGAATAGCGCTTCGCTTGTATGAATAGGGGAGTTGCCCTCTTTTCGAAAAATGTTGGCGCCTCTCGTTATTAAACCCCAAATGATCTAATTGGTATGTGTTCATCATGTTAGGTGTAAGAAGCAAATCGATGGAACGCTGGTGTGGGTTGGTTTCGGATAACCTTACTCAGACAACGCTAAAACGACTCAAACCAGTAACAATCTGCCTAATTGAAAAGCTTGGTAACTCTTAATTTTTTCAATTTTTGGCCTGAGGAAAAGTTTTTTAATCTAAATTTCTTGGTTTCTTATAACTACATCACTGGGAAGGGCTCGCAAAAGTTCAATCTGGTGCCGCCAAAACCTTCGCCTTTCGGGCGTTTATCTTCCCCTGCTGCGATCAAAAAACAAAAGGGGATTTTAGCCCCCCACATATTTTGCTCAAATGAATGGACATGGATGACATTTTAAAATCAAATTTTCTAAATGCGCGCGGCTTTTCATCGGTCTTCCTTTACATTCATCATCAGAAAATCGCGATGTTTCGGCCTACTTACAATTTTACAATGAGAAACCAGTCATTTCTTAAATCGCAGAATGTATTTTATCCTCAGCGGATTTAAAAAAAAAAACAAAACAAAAAACCCAACATATCAAGCATGCCCTCTTTTTCAAACAGCCTTAGCTGGTAAAAACATCCTTTGAAATTTCAACCCAGGTGTGAAAAAAGACTTTGGCTCCGACCAGAACTAATCATTTTAACATCCATCTTTGTTTCCACCGCTTTGAACAAAAGGTGGATTAAATATTTATGTCGTGAGTGCTCAGCTTTTGACGATAATTATCTAAATTTGAGAGATCTCTTAAAAAATGCGTTGACATTTGTTTGAAGCTCCTTCCGACTAAATTAAACGAATATCTGATTGTACAAACATTAACACGTGTGTTGAAGGGCAACGTGCGTGAGACTAAAGCGAAGATACGATATAAAACCAGAATTTTATATCGTCAAATTTTTGACGCTTGCAGAACATCAGAAACGATGCTGAACGAGTTAGCCAAGAGTCAAAACTGAACATACGTATTTCAAGCGACTAAAACTTCATGCGTTGAATTTTTTTTAACTTTATCATAGTAATGAAAGAAAGAAGTCATCCCACAGAATACTTAGGAACATAAGCTCACTTCTCACTTTTGTCGCTTTGTTTTGACTTTCGGAAATGGTGCATTCGGATTTTCTCCTTTGTAGAACTCTTTTAACAAAGCAACGGCTATACTGGCTAAAATACCAGATACACACTCAAATGGTTTCCCTACAGCGCTGGAATGGGTGCATTTATCGTCACATAACTTTGACAGGGCTCGACCGCATTTCTCACAGTTTACAGGCGCGCATAAACAAAGCTGCCCTTTGAAATAACCTGTTGAATCTCCAGTTGCGGTTGGCGAAATTTTCCGAATGGAGCCATCTAAAGAAATGCCACTTAATGTCTGGCGCGAGGCACAATATGGAAAATTATCGTCCGCTTCAGAGAAATTCTTCAACAAGTCCGAGGACGCTGCAGCAACAGGCTTTTTTTCCATGACACACCCTAACGTATTTTGAACAGCATTTGAAGATGCGTCCTGAGAAACACATTTAGATGTTTCAGTTGTATAATCGTCTGTATGAACGTTTAAAATAGAACCACAGCCTCCAAATCGTTCGTTTGCACACCCAAAGACAACTTTAGAAACATGCACGTATCTCAGTGCTGATGCACACATGATACACGGCTCTACTGTAACATAGAGGTGGCAGTTTCTCACAACATCTTCAAAACAAAGACCTCGGTTCTCTGACCATAGCTTGACTTGATCAATAGCAACTAGTTCTGCATGTCTTGTTGCGTTCTTTGTCTCATTTACTTCATTTCTTCCTGTACCAATCACATGGTTCATGTAGACCACAACACACCCCACAGGGACTTCGCCTTTTTTCAGGGCCTCTTTTGCCTTAAAAAAGAATTTAATATTATTCAAGATATGGGGAATAGCCTACTAGATACAAGATAGATATATTTTTTTATATCTTGTAACATTCCTCTTATAAGAAAATGTAGTACGGAGTAACAAAAAATAATAGTCATTAATCTACTGATATCTAAAGGTCTTAAGTGTGTTAAAACCTTTTTCAAACTATGTTTTAAAATAATGTAGAAATAAGGAAAGTTGAATCTTACTAGTTAAGTATTCTGATCGGTTTTTCTAAGGTGAAGAAGGATTGGGATCAGATGATGCACCCTCATTGAACCCTGAAGCAAAATCACCTCAGGGATGAGTTTCACCATGGTTACATAATAAGTTTGATGGGTTGTTTGTTATTTTCATAATTTGAGGTCACCAGAAGGCAATGGTGAACAAACTCACATTTTTTTCACACGCAACATAGTCAGTAAACTAGTCGATGTATATGGCAGTAGACTATTGCTTGACAGCCGGTTCACTGAGTGAAACGTGACTCACATAATTAAGGGTAGCTTCATAACGCAATACCTCATGACCTCCCCCCAGCTCAACACGCGAATACGTATCATATGCTTAAATGCTTTATTAGGAAACCGTAACAATGCCATAGATCCCCTTCACATGTAGTATAGGAGAAATAAAAAGAACAGAAGCAGAGACGAGTGTAAAAAAGAAACTGTATGCTCGACCACGCGATAGGGCTGACATGGTGGAAACTCGCCACTGGCCAGAATTCACCGTACCCTTTTACCCACGAATATTTTCCTGTGCGAAAACTAACTTATTAATCATCCAGAATTAAATAAAAACACGCCGAAAATGTGAGATTGCTTACCAAATTCAATGCATGCTCCATCCACTCTTCATCTCTTCTGTCCGCCATCTTTACTAATCCCAGTCCCTTCTCTATGATTTTCTTCCAGTACTGCAGGCTCATAAACAACTCTCAGCTTCAGCTTGATTGGAGAATTTTTGGGATCGGTGTTTCCCTCGAAACAACTATCACTCGTTTCTGTCCAGTACCTCTCTTTTTTTTTTTCTGGAAAGCTGATAGAGACAATACTACTAAAGTTTTTTTGAGGAGTTTCCCTAAGGGTAAATTCTTAAGATGGCGAGCGAGGTAAGCCGGACAGGTTGTCACGTGCGTTTGTTTACAATTATGCGATCTTGAGATCGTTTACTCCTTCTTCCATCGCGTGTTAAGTGATTTTTAATGATTTTTTACACAGGGAAGTAAGCTTTGGGGTGGGCGTTTTTCTGGTGATGTTGATCCAGAGATGGATAAATTCAACGCCTCCATTGGATTTGATAAAAGAATGTGGAAAGAAGACATTAGGGTAATCTTGTTTTCATATTCATCAAAGTTGAAATCTGTCACGTTTTCAATCAATTCTTCATTTGCTAAGCTGGTCAGTCAGAGTCTCAGTCTGTCAGTTAGCGAGGCTAGTGGGCTGGTTAATTTTTCCAGTTGAGCCACTAGCGCGACAAGCTGCGATTTCCAAACTTAATTATTCCTTTGTAAACCACAACCTGATTGACATCTGGCGGAAACAACACCTAAACTGTAAAGATATCCCCGCATTGGACAACTGTAGTTGTGCCTCTGGATATTTATGTAATACCTAATAATTATGATATGTAAATTTATATGATTTTTTAGAAATTTTACATCCTACTTCTTAATTATGACAACTTTTACTTTATTTTAACTAGCTTTCTTTTTATTAGCGTCCCCACTTAGTACTGTCCTGTACTAGAATTTTTATGACACTTAAATAAAGGTTCATCATTATGATCATTCAGACAGTTAGCAGTTAGTTGGTTAGTTGTAGGGGCTGTAGCTAGATTGTAAATAGTTATTCATTGATTAATTATTTGGCCAGTTAGTTCGTTGGAAATTTAACCAACCAGTCAGAAAACTCATCTGTCAGTTACCCAGTCAGTCAGTCAATTTACCATTCATTCAGTCAGTGTGCTATTCATTCAGTCATTTTAAGCCATGCTTGATCAGTCAGTCAGTCAGTCATTCAGTCAGTCAGTGAGACATTCAGTCTGTCAGTCAGTCACTCAGTCACCCAGCCAGTTACTCAGCCAGTCATCCAGTCTGCCAGTCTGTTTATCCATTTTCCCTGAAGTTAGATGCCTCAGTCAGTCATTTATTTAGTCAGTCAGATAGACAGAGAGTTGGTCCTTTTGTCCATTAGGGTTAGCGATAATCAACCAGTCAAAATATTCATATGCTACTGAATAACAATCTATTTTGCTCCACACTTTGGAGTGGTAAGTTTTTTTAGTTAATTATTTCTCACACAGTAAAACTGTTTCTGCTGATAGGGAAGTGAAGCATATGTCAAAGCAATAGAGAAAGTTGGCTTAGTCACCAAACTTGAAATGGAAGAAATCTTGAGTGGTTTAGACAAGGTCAGTTGAGTAATTTTGGTAAAAAATATTTGTAGTTTTTTAATTATTCATACTAATATAGTCACTTACATCCAGGGATAAAAATGCAAGTATTGTTTGGTGTGTTCTTCAAATTGTTAGCTTCATCTCTGACTGGATTTTCATATGATACAATTGAATTATGTTGGACTAATTTGATGACCTGCTCCCAGTTGGCTTGTTAGCTCAATCGGTACAGCGCTGCACTATAAGTATCGTAGAGGTCAGTGGTTTGAATCCCATACAGGCCTGAATTTTTTCAGGTCTGATTTTCACTATTGCTTTAATAGTGCTCTTTACTGCAAGGATTGTGCGCAAATATACAATTGATTGTGTTTGGATGGAATCTTGATCATGAGAGACACTATGAGATTTATGCTATACACAAAGTGAATCTCATTAACACTCAGTGAAACTTAAAATTTAGCCTCTACTTTAGTACATTTGTAAACTTTTTTAGTGCAGATAACTGTACATTTTATCCATTTCATAGCCACGTTTAAATCAGTCCTGGATTATTTTCATCAATATAATATATAGTTTGAAGCAGGGCTGGCGTAAAAAGATCTTATCATTCTGTTTTTATCTTAATCAGGTCAAAGGTGAATGGTTAAATGGAAGCTTTGACCTTCAACCGTCAGACGAAGACATCCATACAGCAAATGAGAGAAGATTAAAGGTAAACTTGATTTGTTGTCACAGATGTATGATGTATATTCTATATACAAGGCTAAAAGATTAGGAAAAAATTAAAATGTTTGAACCAAATGTTTTGTTCAAACATTTTAATTTTTTCCTAATCTTTTAGCCTTGTATACAGAATATACTTTACTAGGCAAACATTATGGACAGATGTGATGTCTTGACGAACTCTAAGAGAATTAATTTCTTGCTTTATATTTACAGGAAATTGTTGGAAGTGTTGGTGGTAAACTTCATACTGGTAGGAGTAGAAATGATCAGGTATAATTTCTTCATTGCTTATTAGTTAATCATTTATATTTATTATGATTTTTGTTACCAAACTATTAACTTATTGTATTGTAGTGTTAGACATGGAGGTTGTTGTGTTATGATTTTTTGACAATGCATCAACTTGCTGTTTATGCTTTTGTTGTAACATTTTGCATTTTTTTCTTTTACAAGGCTCAAGTGGATGCAAGGTAAAAATAAAACAAGGAGAACAGCTTATTTATCTTTGATTAGTGCATTTTACTCATCAAAAGTTGAGACGGTGTCAGTGCTATGAACCATAAATGTTTTGATATTAATATCCAGGGCTTATACATAGAGACTTTTTGGTATAGGTGGGAGCTTGTTAGTAAAAAAGGTTTTATTTATTTAATTTGTCAACAAGTATTACATGGGCTTTCAATTACAAGTTTATTTTAAACTCAAATTTTACCAAGCCTAGCTATTTACAGCGTAACCATTGGAATTACCACTGATGTGCTTGGTGTTTTAGTTGGAGTTTTTGGGGAAGGGGACAGAAAGAGGCTTTTAAAAACCTGGAGCTCCAAAGGCAGAGTGGCTGGAGAGGGGATGTTTGATAGACTGATTAGAGTAACCCACTAAAGAGGTGTCCATCTGGGTTCCTTTTCATAAAATTTTACCTTTTTCACTTATATCTCTCATAGATTGTGGCTTAAAACTGAGATCAAGACTGTTCAAACCCTGTTGCTTGAGCTTATTAAAGCCTTCATAACAAGAGCTAAAGTGTAAGTATCCATTAGTCTGCACTTGGTAAACCAGTAATTTATTGATTAAAAATGAAAAACGAACAAACAAGTGATTGAAAACAAGGGCTTAATAAAGAAGGTTGCAGAAGAGTCTTATACATATGCATGCAATGCTGTGCCCAGTTGTTCAGTGGCAGATAATGCTATCAGAAAAAAAGATTGCTGGATAGAGGTTTATCCAGTGGAGAGTGTTATTTATCCTTTGATAAACTGGGGCCTGGTTTTCTTAAATGTTTCTGTCAGTTATTTTTTTAACGAGCTTGATTTACAATTGCAAAATTTCTAAGAAGATAATCAAAGGGGAAAAATTCAATAAAGTTTCAATTTGTCCTTTTTATAGAGAAATTGACATTCTGATGCCGGGATACACCCATCTGCAGGTGCCAATTCTGAGCTTGTTTCATAAGCTGCAAAACTTCTGTTTATAGTGAAATCTTTTTTATTGAGATGAATGCAAAGCAGTTCTGGTCAACATTGGTCAACTGGTCAACATTGGAGCTCAGAAGAAAATATCTTTGCTTGGTTCAGCTGTACAAGATAATTCATGGCTATTGTGATGTGGACTATACTAGATATGTTGATCTGACTGGCCCGACCAGAACTAGAAGGAACCATGATTTTAAAATCAGACCTAGAGCAGCAAGGGCATCCTATTTTAAATTCTCATTTTTAACCATTACATTAATGACTGGAACTCGTTACCTAATTCTGTTATGTTGGCTCCCAGTTTAAATGTCTTTAAAAATCGATTGTTTAATTTTCTTTGTATTTAGTTGTTTTTTATTATTTACTATAAATTACTATATTTAGATTTTATTGTATTATTTATTACAATTCACTATATTTAGATTTTATTGTCAAAACATAGTAGTTCCTCCGTTTCCTTTTTTATCTAGATGTGTGGTTATGCATTAGACATTTCTTTTTATTTTATTAGCTTCTAACTTGGAGAGCAGTTTTTACATGGGAATTCAGTTTCCCCCTATTGCTTTCCTTTACCCTCTGTATCTATTTATTGTTTATTATTCTTGTACAGTGGTAAAAAGCATTATTAAACTTAAACTAAACAGTTTACTTAAAAATGTGTACTTTTAATTATCTTAGCGTGCTCAACCAATAAGATGGAGTCACTGGCTTTTGAGGTATCAATAACTATCCATAGAAATTGGTGTAAGACTGAAATAGTTGAATAATGAAAGCTTGAGAAAATGATTTAAGCTAGAACATGGCTATTTATACTACCGGAAGACATGGATTACATCTGTGTGCACTGTAATTTCCTCTATGAATGCAATTTATAGTATTATATAACAGTAGATCCCAATTTTGGACCATGAGTCGTAGTCTGGTATATGTTTGCTAAGTAGAGGCTGTGCTGTGCTTGAATATCTTAACTGAAAAATGTAACGTTAAATTGTTTTATTTCCTAAGACTTTCAAGGATGTCCCTTTTGTGTGAATCTTCAAGTTTGTTGCATTAAATAAAAAGCTTGACTTTTAACCTTTATTTTTTTTTTCTTAGTTATGCCTGGGCACTGAAGAGAGATTATGATCGCCTTGAAGAAGTCTCTAAACGGGTTGATGTCAACCCTCTCGGAAGGTTGGTATTTACTTGACTGCGTTGGGAGGTATGGGAAGGGGGAAACTGGCAAGAAGGTGGTTTTGATGGGCAGCTGTGCAGAGTTACGTATTGGTCCAGGAGTATAAACTAAGAGACATTGGCTTGAATTCCTCTTAGTTTCACTTGAGTCTCTCTACAAGCAAATGCATCATATAGGCTTGCCACACAACACATTCTTGCCTTTGCATGATAAGAGCTTTTGTTGACAACAGATGATCAGTAATAAACTATTATAGACAACTGACCAACCAATTGATCGACTGTCTGACTTACAACTGACCATCCGTCTTTCTGACAGACTCATTGACTGTCTGTCTGACTGACCATCTGACTGACAATCTGATTGACAGACTGTTTTAATAGGTTTACTCCTAAAACACTTAAAACTATATGAGGAGTTTAAACAGTATGTAACTTATAACTATATTTAAAAGTATTAAAATAGTGATGACAATAACATAAATAATAACATTGATTATAAAACAATAATATTTCTAAAATAAATAATTAAAATTAATATACACCGCATAGATAAAAGCTCTACTGTCTTTAAATATATAAGGACACATTAGCCTTGAAATCATCTAGAGAGTTAGAGATTTGAGGTAAGTTCATATTGTTCCAAGTTCTGATAGTTCTGGGGTAGAAGGAATATTTGGATGTGCCATTCAGGGTGCAAAGCTGTTGGACTGGTACACAATTTGGGTACCTTGATGGTCTGGTAACTTGCATTATCTCGGATGGTAGCGAGATCCCAACAAGGCCCCTATAGATTTTGTAGAACATGCAGGTTTGATTTATCAGTCTTCGACGTTCCAAAGAATCCCATTCTAGTGATTTAATCATCTGACAGACTCTACTGTGATGAGAGTAATCATTATTGACAAATCTTGCCGCACGTCGTTGGACCATCTCTATCTTATTGACATTGCACTGTTTATATGGATCCCACACACTGCTCGCATATTCTAATTTAGGATGAACAAGCGAGCAATATGCAGTGTTCTTATTAAATTCTCATTTTTTAACCGTTACATTAATGACTGGAACTCGTTACCTAATTCTGTTATGTTGGCTCCCAGTTTAAATGTCTTTAAATGTTTGACTGACCTACTGATTGATTGTCTGACTGACTGACTATCTGTGTGACTGCCTGAGTAATTTGCTGGACGAAGGCCTGTCTGACTGCATTACTGACAGATCAACTGACAGATTGATTTATAACTGATTACCTTTTTAGTGGTGCCATTGCAGGGAATCCTTTCAATATTGACCGCCAGTTTCTCGCAAAAGGTAGATATTTTCAAACATTTTCTGCATTCAGCAAACACCTGTTATCACCCACCTATCATCAACCACCTATCTCTGTCTACATTTAGGCACAATAAACATGGGCATAGACAGGTTGATAAATATTTACTCTCCTGTCTATGTTGCACAGCACTTAATTTCCACAGAAATTAGAAATATTACAGGGTTGAGCACACTTTCAACTCTGCCAAAGTAGTGGCCTGGATTCTGAGACTTCAAAACCTGATACATATAAATGTTTCGTTGTACATTTAATCACAGATGGAGTTCTCTTTAAAAAGTATCAAGTTGAAACTGTTTCTTAATAAGCAACCTGGGAGCAACCTGGTGGAGTTCTCTTTAAAAAGTATCAAGTTGAAACTGTTTCTTAATAAGCAACCTGGGAGCAACCCGGGAGCAACCTGAGAAAAAAAGTCTTGCCTATAAAAAGTTAATAGAAGATTCTTAAACTCCTATGAGTGAACAAGACAGAATTTCTCCTTACTATTTTCAATACCATATCAAGCAGATAAGGGATGAGAATAAAGAGAACTGTCAATTAAAGATTATTAGTTGATGGAGATTCCTGGGCAGGGGAAATTCTATAAGTCCCGGTTTAAAAACACACTGTTCAGACATTTTCCATGTGCTCACAACAACAACCTTTAATATCAGTTCCAGTCCCCCACATGGGGGTGGTGCCTAGCACTTACAAAAAACAAACAAACAAGAATTGGTGTGTCCAGTTGATGTAATACCAAATTCTCCAAAGTAATATCATAAGAATTGTATGGCAGAAAGTAATTAGGAGAATTATGAATGGGATCTTGGGAGTGAAAGGGTGAAAGTTTTTTTATTTTTTATTGCAGTCTGAAAAAAAAGATATCTAAGCTTTGGTGAATCTCGTGTTATCAAACTGTATTCTTTGAATTGTTTTTGTAGAGTTAAATTTCTCTGCTGTGACAGGGAACAGTATGGATGCAGTTGGGGACAGAGACTATATTGTAGAATTTCTCTTCTGGGCCTCACTCTTGTCAACGCATCTCAGGTTTGAATTGGAAATAAAACTAGCAGAATCAAGAAAAAGCATTAAAAAGATACTTAATAAACACAAGAGAAGACTCATCAGTCACTAGTCAACTTGTTGCTTTCTCTCTGGCTGTTAAGGGTGCTTTTTTCTCCTTTTTTTATGTTAGTCTAAATTCTTCAAGTTTGCTGTGTGCAAATCTTGTTTCAACTTTTTAGTCTTTTTATATTTTCTTGTTTTTGTATTTTCTTAGAACTCTATGAACTTAATGGTTATAGTTACATGGACACAGCAGATCACGTCCCATCCATGAACTACTTACGATATTCATCAAGGAATCAGCTTACAGTGCCAAATTAGGACATGATTAATTTTTATCTTGCAATTTTAAAAGAATTTCAAACCAAGCAACTCCCCATCCAGCAATCTCCCTCAGTAACCAATCCAGTAATCCCCCCAGCAACCCCCCAGCGCACCCCCCAGCAACCACCTTAGCATTCCCCCTCAGCAACCACCCTAGCAACCACCCTAGCAACCACCCTAGCAACCACCCTAGCAACCACCTTAGCAATCCCCTTCAGCAACCACCCCAGCAACCACTCCAGCAACCACCAATCCCCTTCACCAACCGTCCCAGCAATCCCCTTCAGCAACCACTCCAGTAATCCCCCTCAGCAACCCCCCCAGTCATTCTCCTTAGCTACCCCCTCAGCAACCACCTCACAATACCTCCAGCAAATAAATAATTCCCAAAGAAAGGTGATGAGCATGTTAATCACGTTAGAGGACCTTATAGCAGCTCCCACGTTATTCTTGCATAATTAAATCACATTTTTCTCATTTAAAATATAGGAAAACTTTCTCTTCTAATCATATTTTTGGTCTCTTTTACTTCACAGTCGCTGGGCAGAGGATATGATTCTTTACTCCACCAAAGAGTTTGGTTTCATTTCATTATCAGATGCTTACAGGTCGGTTTTCTTCTTAAAGCTCTGTTCATTTTTTATCTTTTCTTCTGTGGGACTCATACTATCGTCATAATCTCGTTCCTAGAGCTTGCCCTGGTCAGGAAAACGAGGATTCTGGGAACGCCTACTACTATCTTAATGAAGAAAGGGAAATCTTTAACTAAGTTTCAAAACTGAGGCAGAAAAGAATTGGTTTTGCTCTTTCCCGCTTTGTGGTTGATCTAAAAAGCTCGTGGCGGCACCCTCTCCACCAATTAAAATGCAAAACTAAAACTGATCGCGACTTAGTCTTTCACACTCCCGTTTTACCGGCCGGAGTGTGTTGTTTGTGTTTTACTCAAGGTTCTTAATTGCTCGCCGTGTTTTTTTCCTTTGTTTTAATTTTCCGTTGTGAATACTTTGATTCTGGTTTTGTGGCGTTGATTGAAACGCACTCAAACAGCCTACGTATTGTTCTCCTTTTTCACTGTGAGAGGCAGCAAACGTTTATAGATAGAGCCACACATCATTAGCTCGTCCAATCTCACCGAACTAGAACAAAGCAAACGTTGTCTGGGTTGATTACTTTTCAGCACTGGGAGCAGTTTAATGCCCCAAAAGAAAAATGCAGACAGTTTAGAATTAATCCGAGGGAAATCAGGACGAATCTTTGGCCGAGTAAGTATTCATAAACATCGAACTCACATAGATATTGTTAGCTTAGAATCCTTGTGTTTTTTTAGGTTTATTTTGTAAATAATGGTCGTCAATTTAGTGTTTTTTTTGTTTGTTTTATGTAGTGTGCAGGCGTGCAGATGACCTTAAAGGTAACATTTTAATTGACATCCACGTTTTTGTGCAATTTATACCATCATAAGATTTATCTGTTTTCCTCAGTAAAAGTGAAATCTTCAAATCATGATTTGTTAGGATGTACAAACAACAAAAAGGTAAGGATAACCTAAAAAGGAAGGAGAATAATTAGGGGTAGAGAAGATTTACACAGATTGGAAACTGTAAACTTTCAAAAAGTTTCGACTAAGCTTCGACAAATGTCAAAATCAATACATTTTTCACTAGTTTCTGATCCTTTTTCTATTTCTCATAGGCCTAATGCATGATATTACAATGACACTTTAATGGGAAATTAGATACTGATCAAGTTCTGTTTTATTCATATTACACAGGGTATCCCAAGTACTTACAACAAGGACTTACAGGTGAGATTTGTAGCTGAGAAACTCAGAAGGACGCTAATGTAAACCAGTCGCTTTCATTTGTTCTCGAAGCCCTATTACCTGCTGCGAGATCTATAATCTCCTAGTGAATGAGGAAGATTGACGAAGGTTAAAAATGAAGTCGAGAGCTACTTAAAAAGAAATTTCATGGCTCGCAAATTGACGCTAGTTCTTTCCGTTCCTTTGAAGGAAGACAAGGAACCTTTGTTTGATGTGTGTGACACATTACGTGGTTTACTTCAAGTAGCTACAGGAACCTTACTCACACTCAAGGTGAGGAATGCAGCTAGCGAGACAATAAAGTTTTTTACTCTTGATAACTTCGTTAACTTGTTTATGAACGCATTGTTCATTTGTATTTATTGTCGTCAGATACACAAAGATAAGATGTTAGCTGCACTGAGTCCAGATATGCTGGCCACAGACCTGGCTTATTACCTTGTGCGGAAAGGGGTAGGTTCTTACACGACCGAGAATCGTAGGACTACCCGAGCTTATCTCGGTTTCAGTGGCATGAAGCGACTTAAATTACGGTTGCTCCTCCTTGATGAGACTCGATACTAATTCATCGCAAGTTACCCACTCAGCATTTCGTGTTGACGATTCGCTGGCCCCCATTTATACCCCATGGGGGGGGGAGAGAGAGGCACTGTGACAGTGACGAGTTAAAACAATAAACTGGAATCCTCGTTTTAAAACTTAAATCCAAACGATGCAGAAAGAAGTCTATAGAGGGCGCCAGGAAAATAAACTCTCAACTTTTAGCCAAGTGGATTAGTTTATAATATGAGAGCAGTAGAGTCTAAGACAGTCCAACCTTCAGTTATGTATTGTACATACGCTTTCAGGTCCCCTTCCGTGAAGCTCACAGTTTGTCCGGTGAGACAGTTCAGGTCGCAGAAACCAAGGGCTGCCTTCTGAATGAACTCACTTTGGATGACTTGAAGAAAGTCAGGTGAGCCAAAGTCAAAGACTGCCATGGGTCGGTGAACCCATATTAGAGGGTTTTGTTTTAAAACCGTTATTTTCATTGATCCCCATTATCTCCATCGAATCGATGTAGTTTTCATTGAAACTTAAAGGATTTGTATTGATACTGACGCAGGTTTAGTTCATCCACGCCCTTAACAGCATTTTCTCAACTCTTAACAGATTATCGTAGAGGGTACGTGGGTAACTGTTGTCATCTTGCTATTATACTCATAAATGATATTACATACCGAACCTAACTGTGTTCCAGGGTCTCTTTTCTTTTAACACTCCCTCTCCCCCCCTCCAAAAAAAAAAATTTAATAATAAAAAAACCTTCAGCGAGAGAGAAGAGAGTGCCTTGGAACGAGGTTATAGGGCAACATACATTAACGATTATAACATAACCAGGAAGCTGGAGTTGCTCTCCGCTATCGCCTCGCGCGACTCTTACGCTTCTTTCGTGCTAAGCAACCTCCCGAGTGCATCCATAACTCAATAGTGTGCGCTGTGGTGTTAACCATTTGTTAAGTTTTGTAAGCTTTCTCAAGCCTCGATCCCAAGAGGTCGGTTGAATAAAATTGTCATGATTCAAACTTTGTTTATGTTTTATTTTTATTTTTTTATTGTGTGTCCTTCCCAGTCCACTGTTTGACAAGGATGTGAATGAAGTGTGGGACTATGAACATAGTGTGGAACAATATTCTGCAGAAGGAGGAACAGGTAAGAGCTCTGTAGGAGGACAGATTAACAAACTGCAACAATGGATGGATTATTACGGAGAGAATCAACTAACAGCTGAATGATACTAACGTCACAACCATTATTTGAACGACGAGGCCCTCCTCTTCTTTGTTGGCGCGGAAAGGGAAGCAAAGAAAGCTGACCAAGATACATGAAAAATAGAAACTGAAAAAAAACACAAACAAACAAAATGACCAAACGAGATATTTAGCTAGAGTTCCGCAAATAGTTAACTTATTACTCTATTTGGGAAAAATTCAAGTATTATATTGTAATAAATGGGGTAGTCATTCATCTTGGTGAATTAGAATGTTACACGGTTCCACACCTGGCTACCTGCATTACTAGCCTACTGGGCTACTGATTTCTAAAATCTACTAGCCCGAAACACAACTTGGTAGCCCGGATCAATTTCCCTCGAGGTCTACTTCAACCCCAAACACACAAACCTTCCTCTAAAGTTGTTGGCATGGTCTTTTAATATAGTAAACAATAGTACAAATGCTTCAAGTGCGAGGCGATCGTGCGAGGCGATGTGCAAGGCATCGCAACATTGGTAAGCGCAGAGCCTGGGATCTAGCGATATTTACGATCGGACGCAAGACAAAAAAAGACGCCAGTAGATGAAAGGTTTATGTCTTCTTTATTGGTATTATCATTAAAGTTCAAATTTGAACTTTATTGTTTTGTTTTTTAATTAACTGTGAACTTCAAGTAAACTAATTATTATTTCTTTCAATTTTTCTACTAGCCAGCGGGCTATTAAACGTGTTTTTTTTACTAGCCCGACCAAATTTATACTAGCCTCGGGCTACCGGGCTAGTGGAGGTGTCGAACCCTGAATAATAGTAAAGTATTATCGTTTGGGTCATAACGTAGTCAGTTCCGATGTGAACCAGCTCGTTAGAAGTGACTACATCGCGAAACAAACGGCAGTTATTTTATTATTTGTAATAACTTTATGTCATTTAGATATTTCTTTCTTTAAATGGTCTTAGCCTTTCAAATTACTGGCTTCGGAAGCAAACTTTTAAGTGTAAATAATGTTGTAGTGATTTCATCAGTTTTTTGACATTACGTAGAAAAGTGTTGAGAACTCAAAATAAAGCTCAAATAGCAGTTAAAATCTTGGATCTCGACATTGATTCTAGCCTGACTGATTCTATTATAAGTGCCACAAGTTTTCGTCTTTTCTTAGTACCNTTAGAAACTTAGCCCCTTTATGTTTGTTACTTAGCTACATACATACATACATACATACATACATACATACATACATACATACATACATATAATTTTTGTTAAGGCAGGTCGGTTTGTGGCAACCCAAAGGCTGGTGTGGACCTGCCAGGAACTAAAAAGGAACTACTTAAATATATGGACAATTCTAAGGAAAAAGTAAAGAAATTTCAAGGACTTAAAAGTATAAAAAATCCGTTTGCTTTGATGTTATCACACAGGCCTCCTTTTCGAATTGAATGCGATCTAATGTCCTTGAGGCCTGTCTAAGTTTTTGTTTAAAAAGCTGTAGAGAGGAAGCATCCTTGATGGCTTTAGGCAGCAAATTCCAGACAATGGGCCCTCTGTACCTTGCACTATTTCTACCAAGGTCACTGTTACACCGTACATGCGGAAAGTCATTAATACGCCTTAGATTATAATTACTATCAATGTTGCGTTTTGTGAAAAGGGCAGTAAGTTGATCAGGTAAACTATTATAATGTACTTGATACATTATAGAAGCGAGTCTACGTTTGTAAATATAGCCTAATGATTTCCATTTAACTAGGTCAAGGACGTCAGAGTCAGGAGTTTCGCTGGGCAGTTTATGGATTAGTTTGGCTGCTTTCAAGTGTAAATGTTCCAATTCATTAAATGTAGATGGTGAACAGGACCCCCAAATAGCAATGCAGTATGTGATGCTTGGGACAATCCCTTTAAAATATATTTCTTCTAGTACACCTGATGGTAGGGCTTTGAGCTTTTTAAGGAATTTTAGCTTTCCTCCAAACTTGTAGTGCAGGGCTTTAACTTGCGGTTTCCAGTTCAGTTTATAATCAATTTCAACACCCAAGCAAGTAGATTTGGTGGTGAAGTAAATGTGAGAGTTTCCGAACATTAGGGGTCTCATTGGTCCGACAAAGACTTGACTGGAAATTAACATTGCCACGGTCTTACCAGTGTGAACAGTCAGGTGATTTTTACAGCACCACACTTTGAAGTCGTTTAATATTAAATTTAACGCATCAATGATTTCTTCGACTCCTTTCCCAAGGTAATAAATTGTGGTGTCGTCTGCAAACATATGAATGCACCCAGTTTCGGACGAGTTCGGTAAATCGTTGACATATATTGTGAAGAGTCTGGGACCCAGTAAAGAACCTTGTGGAACACCGATATCAATTTGTTGTAGCTTTGATCGTACACCGTTAACAGTAACATATTGGGATCTTTCATGTCCGTTGTTCGTTTGTGCGTTTCATACAATTCTAGCAGACGCAGTAAATTGTCAGGTGTCCTGGAGGACACCGAGGCAAACTGGAGCCGAGTTGTAAAACGTTGGTAACTCGGCGCAGTCTTTCGCAGTTGTAATCAATTAAACATGGCGGATGAAGCGGACGCTGAAGGATATGAAGGAATGTGTGAAGCGCACGGCAGGAAATGAGGCTTTTTAAACTCTCTCGGCTAAGAAAATTAACATTTGTTTTGGTTTTAATCATAGCGATCACTAAATATGTTGCCCTACCGATTTTTAGAGCTCTTAAGAGGTATGTGATGTAATGATTACAAATGGTTTTTATTCACTAGTCGTAAAATATGTTTTTCTGATCTTTTGATTGGTTTTGATAGTATACATACAGGTTTTGGCTAGATTTCTTTATAAATCCGTACTCTGTCGTGCCTACATCTTTGGTTTAAAAGAAAAATGGCACAACGATGGATTACATTTGGGACAACTTTGGGACTAAGGTTATTAGGAAGTCTTTTCCAGTATTTTCCATTTTCCCTTATTTACGCAATCATTTAGCCTATATATTGTTCGAAGTGTGGATCAGTAAAACTAGAAGACTCGGATAGACTGGTTTGCTTGTCTTCCTTATACAGATGGGTTCTATTACTAACAAACATTGATTTCAATTGTTTTGTAGCAATAAGTGTCACTCTGTCAAAAGCGTTTTGTTTTTGAAAACACACAAGACAGGAGGAAGCTCGGTAGCCAACATTTTATACAGATTTGCTAAAAGAAAGGATTTAAGCGTGGCCTTACCGAGGAATCAAATCTTTTCTTTTTATTGGCCTTGGAGTTTTCAAGTGAATTTTGTCGACAATTTACCGAGTGAGAAGCCAAATATCTTGTGTAGTCATGCAAGGCAAGTGAAATAATTTAACTATCTTATGGGGAGCCGGTTTGCAGGGTGTGTTAAGATCATGCAATCCTTTTTTTTCTTGAGAGCTCACTTCACATTTTAGCATTGAGTGCAGATGCTCTAAAACTAAGTGGCAATACTGCAACTATGCCCAATGCATTTCCAGACCTCAAGTCATATTGCTTGGGTAAAGAAATCTAAAAAATAGCTTAGCATACCTAAGATCTTGGCAACTTCTGCTGAACTCTGCATCCTTGTGGCCTTTGCTTTAATAGTCATCCTCTAAGGTTGGGGTCAGTTTCCCCAGTTCTAGTTTTGTTTTTTCACCCAGTGCTTACAAATGGGAATAGCATGTTTTTCCTCTCTTTTCTCTTCAGATACAACCAAACATCCATGAAGCTAATTATGCCCCCTGACACAAAGTTCATTACTATCCTTCGCCATCCCATTTCAAGATTCGAATCAGCATTTCTTTTTGAAGACCTTCCAGCCTTTCTTGGTATTTCTAGCTCTTCCAATCCTTTCTATCAAATTTTACACAAATTTGATAAATATAAGTCTGATATAAATACCATGTACACCCTAAGAAATGGGATGAGTTTTGATCTTGGCCTCGAACCAGAGGACTTTGAAAACACTGAAGTTATTAGAAACTTCATCTCCTCAGTTGAAAGAGATTTTGACCTGGTGTTACTCCTAGAATATTTTGATGAGTCTTTGGTCCTACTGAAGCACCACTTTTGTTGGAGTTTAGAGGATGTGCTGTATTTAAAACACAATGCAAGGTTGCAGTACTTCAAGAGACACCACATTCCCAAGCAGTTTAGAGATGGATTTTTGCAGTGGAACAAAGCTGATGTCTATCTTTACCGACACTTTAACAGAACATTTTGGAAAAAAGTTGATTCCCACGGTGAAAACTTCTGGTATGAAGTGCACCTCTTGAGAAAGAGGTTTTTGGAGATGAGTAAAGAATGCCTTGTTCCAGGAGAGCATAGAGATAAAAAATCACTAACAGTTTCAAAATTAGTTCTCAGTCCAAACACTGGCAAAAGAAACCAAGAACTTTGTGAAGATCTAGTGAAAAATGAAGAATCATATCTGACTTTTTTCAGGCATAAACAATTGCAGAGTGTATGAAAATAATATTAATCTGAAATCTAATATATATCTGAAATCTAATATATATCTGAAATCTAATATATATTTGAATTGTGTACACCTTTGATGAGCTTTAACTCTCACTAATGCTGTGAATTAAATTCCACAGAATTTTCCAAAAATGTTCTTTAAACAAGATACTTAAAGTAAATTTCTCAGAAATATTGTGGATGCTTACCTTATTTCTTAGGGAGGAAAATCAATGACCTGGATTCTTGGGACGTTAAACATGAAACTCACCTAAAGATATTTCTTGTAAAATATTTCCTCTGCAGGTTATTTCATTAATTTATTTAACTGATCTGAGGACATGGTTGACGATATGTTTCATACTACTAAAGTAATTATTACTTAAGTTATTAAAATATAACCGATAAACATTCATGAAATTTTCTTGGAAAGAAAGACATGTCGAGTGTGTGAGTTTGATTCATTTGGTTCAACAGCAAGTGAGTTTTTCCACAAATGGAATCACAGTAAGTTTAGACCAAAGTAATTTTGCATTTGAAAGAACGGAAAACATACATAACTTTCTATAAAAGCAGTACTTAAAAATTACAGAATTGTGACTCCTAATGAGTCACGTGGGCACTTTGCCATTCGTTCAGTACAAGTCCTTACGAGCCCACTTCGACATGTTTGCACGCAGGTCAGGGAAACTGGGTCGAGAACATGAAGTTTAGGATTTCCTTTTGAAGCAAGTCCAGCAGGCACAAATATTTGGCTGATCCTTTTAAGTTATTTTTCTCAGGAACTTCCCTTTTTTCCTGACCTGCATTTAAACACACCCTTTACATGCATTAGTGACAAAAGTATCCCATATATTATCTCATATTAATTGGTAGGGCTGTGTATTTCATGGATTGCCTATCAAATGTGAATGCTTATCTGTCAAAATGCAACGCACTGTACTGCACTAGATATTAAAAAAAAAATACAGATTTTCTCATCGAGGTTCCTCACTGTAAAGTAAAAGAAATACGGTGACGGACTGTTTATTAGCAATTGCCAGGCAAGTTTATGAAGTCAATCTACATTTGCCAAGCTTTCAATTTTGTTTTGTGCGATGCTGATCAGTTTATGATCCACTGGTTCATAACGTTTGCATCGTGGCCCAGACAGAGGGAAAATTGAGTGCAGAAAGTGTGTTTGGTTTAATCCTTTCTGCGTGTCTGTTTACTTCATATGGAATTCATCGTAGTGCTGAACTCCTTCATGTGCAGATTCGAAGATAAATTTGCACATTTTGCAAACACAGTTTGCATCGAGCCAGTCGAGAAGCGTGGTCCTTCTTCCGTCGATAACCCATGCCGATACTCGTTTGTCTTTTCGCAAAATCTTCGCTAACTCTTCGTAGCGCCGATCCTCGCCCGAGACCAAGTAAACATCGGGTTTCTTATGCCTTGAAAAATCGAACGAACTCGCGTAGTAGACGAGTAAGTCTTCGACAGCATTCGGAAATGACGTCAGTGAAGAGTGCTTCATGATGATTGGACGGCCGTCGTGGTGCCTTTTGTCGGGAATCATGCTGCGAAGCTGGTTTTGGTCGGTATCTTTACGGTGAAACACATGAACCTCAATTTGAGTTCGTGCAGGGAATCGTATGTCTCTTAAGAAATCTTTACATGCTTCCCATTCGATAAAAAATACAGTGTAGACGAACGTCATTTCTTCTGAAGGATCTGTGTTGTAAAAACAAGCGAAGCAGAAATAAATTTTCCAGCTTCAAATTACTCTCACCTGTCTAGTTCTGAAGTGATCTAAAATAAAAAACAGCTGAAAATGCCAACAACAGGATGCGAGACAAGAAGTTAAATTTTATATCTAATGAATCAACAATGAATTTTAATTATATTTCGTCGCGCTGCCAGTTTTTTCCGTATTTTTTTTCCGCTTCAAATTCTGTTTGAGCCTCTCCTTTTTAGTATCATCAATCGGCTGCGCCCTCCATCTATGAAATATTTGCTGAGCTGTAGAAAGCGCCTTCGTAAACTGCCTAACAAATTCTAAACTCAACCGAAACTAGTATTTTGTCTCTCAAACTAGACAAGCTACTAATTAAATCTGATACAAGGATTAAATTTATTTGTGATTTGAAGTTTTCTCGTTAATCAAGAGAGTCATGCCAAGTTACTGTGGTTAGAAAACCATTTTCAGTAGAGAGTTTCGAAAACAACATTTTCCGTGCTTAAACAGGGCCCTTACTGAGAGATTGCCATAAACTCCTTCCTGTTTTGGCAAAAGCACATGTTTTTCTCAGGTGGACTGGGTAAACTATTAAACCCTGATGTGGTTTCGGAGAAAAGCAGTGTGCCTGATCAAGGAATGGAATTGGTAGGTAAACTGAAATTGGCCGGCTTGAATTCAGTAAACGCTTACGAAGTCCATATCTTTTTTTATGGAATTTTTCATCGGAAAAAAATACGTTTATTTTATTCGACTAGAGGGTTTATCTCTTCGGCCTTTTTTCCGGAACAAACATAATTATTTTAATCATCGGATGTGGAAGCACGACATCTATCAGTCTTCTCTCAAAACTGTCCATTTCCCCTGATGTTTCGTACTGGCAAGTTTTTACCTTACGTGAAATGAAAGTTGTTCTTAACTTTAAGGATCCGTTTCCTCCCTGAGGCGTCATTCAAGACATGTGAAGTATAAGGATGTTACCAGAGGCACTAACGAGGCGATGGACTGTTTATTATTTAAAAGATTTGAATAACAAATTTCTTCCACGCAGCTCTTTCATCAGAGATGGTCATATGAAACCATAAACATTTTTGTTAGCTACACAAGCTTTTCCTTGTATCATTAGCAGCTAAACAAAGTACACTCACAAACAAAATATAACTAGGAAGATGAAGAGCAGTGGCTCTTAATTTTTCAGTAACGACTTTTTGGCAAAACGGGCGTTCGACGCCAACAGGTGAAGCTTTACACGCGGGATTGTTGTCTGGTTTTTCATCCTACTCTGAATATCACTCTCAATTTCTTAGTTTATGTGGCGTTTTAATTGTCACCTAAGTATTAGTTTTACTCTGTAGCTATCTTTCAATGAAAGCTCTGCTTCATTTCAGAATGTTTTCACCTTGAAATTGTTAGTTTTTAGCCTCGATAGCCCAGAATATCTACTTTAGTGACCCACTGTCATATTCAAAACAGTTTTATCTCAAGTTTCTTCAACTCAAAATGACGATGAAGTTGATTTTTAATTAGGAATCCTCGCCGACGAGAAACTTGTTATGTAGATTCATCGACCAATTCGTTCAAGATGTTTTCATCCCGCTGAATTAAAAATTCATCGCTCAATCGACAATTTTAAAGTCGATTTTTGTCAATAAATATTGTAAAATGGATTTGGGTTTCGACCAAGGGATTAAACCTTTAGATATAATAAAGAACGTACAAGTATCTTTTTTTAGAATAATAAGCCCTGTTTACCACTCTAAAGTGTCTTTCCTGGAAGTTTCGTATTAGATAAATAGAAGGGCAAACAAATATTTTGCTTGCTGTTCCGAATATTAAAAACGCACCATTTGCCTTGAGAAATATGCGCGTGTTCCGTGCTAAGGTGAGAAGACAAGTTAACTCTGTTGGTAATGTGAATTGTTGCGAGTCAAACACAAATCCAAGACAACTTACTTTTGTTTTCTTCAGCGGGTTGATGGTCGACAAAATCTTTATGTACGTCACTGGGGTTTTCGTTGAGTGAGGTCTTTGGATAAGATAACACTCTACTACTGGAATGATTTTTATTACCCGCTGGGCAAAACTATTCATTAAATACCTGATTGATAATCGAGATGAGAAGTTTCATTGGTTAAATCTGATGCTGTTCACACCAATCGTATTCGCCCAAAAGGGTAAACAGAGTCAACTGAAGGCCGGGTAAACTGTGAGAAACACCAAAGAATGCCTATCCACTAAGACTGAACTTGACTTGCACTGAGTGTGAAAAGAAGGGAACTAAAAAAGGTGGAGAGCGGAAAATGGCTGCGCGAAAAAAGTAAAGGGTGTGTTTCCCGTGATTCGCCAGGTCACTGGCATGTTAGAGAGAGGCTGGGTCATAGCGATCGACTAAGGCCATTGACAACAATTCTAAAATGTTATTGAAAACGATATTTTGACGACGATTATAATTACAGGTGTCCTAACATCTGTATCATAATTCTTCACTGCACTTGATGCCCATGGCTGCATCTAACACAGATCTCATAAATATTCTCGAAAATTATTTCAATATAAGATTTTTTTGTGAAACCAGAGACAATTCTATAAAGTTACAATTTAGGTCCTGCTTCTGCCTAATTCATATTCATGTTTTGATTTGTTTGGGGTCGTTATTTATTATTCATATTGGCGTGCTCAGAGTTAATTGTGAAATTCAGTGTTATAAATAGTTAATACAACGGACCATTTTCCTTGATCAAAATTCGTGGTCTTTCGGCCAGTTATGTTGAAGAAGTTGCTTTTTCGTATATGTGCACGATCCTTCGCAGTAAAGCACTATTTGAGCAATAGTGAAAATCAGACCTGAAAAAAATTTCAGGCCTGTACGGGATTCGAACGACTGACCTCTGCGATACTAGTGCAGCGCTCTACCAATTGAGCTAACAAGCCAACTGGGAGCAGGCCATCAAATTAATTCGACATAAACCCGTAGATGATAAAGTAAAGTAAAGTAAAGTAAAGCAAACTTTATTTACACAGGGTAGCCCATTCAGCTCTAAGGCTGGTATCCATAGGGGCCCTGTATTGAAAATAGTTTACATCAAATTTCTAGAATAGATATATATGTATATATAATGACTAAGATTTTACAACTACATTAACAGCCTAAAACTACAAAGCTAAAACACAATTAAAACATAACATAGTAAATAAAATATCAAAATTATCAAATTACGGTAAAAGGAAATGTTTTGCTCGGCGACAGAACGTTTGAATGTTTTCACTCTTCACAATGTTTAAAGGAAGTTTATTAAAAATTTCTGCGCCAGTAAAAAGAAAGGTCCTTCTCCCAAAATTCTGTTTTACTTTTGGTAGGGATAGCCTCAGACTTTGCCTCGTGGAATAATTGTGAATATTCGAAAATCTGGTAAAATATGATGAAAAGTAACTAGGAACTAATGAGTGGAGACAGAGAAAAACGAGTTTAGCCTTGTGGTAATAGCGTCTACTGGAAAGAGTCGGCCATTGCAGCTGATCTATTGCTTCAGATGACCGAGAGCAACGTGTAATAATCCGTGCAGATCTATTTTGTAAGCGCTGTAGTCGATCTATATCTTGTTGTAAAAGGTTACTCCAGGCAATGTCACAGTAATCAAATATATATGCATTTCATATATATTTGTTGTTTGATTTATCATCTACGGGTTTATGTCGAATTAATTTGATGGCCTGCTCCCAGTTGGCTTGTTAGCTCAATTGGTAGAGCGCTGCACTAGTATCGCAGAGGTCAGTGGTTCGAATCCCGTACAGGCCTGAATTTTTTTCAGGTCTGATTTTCACTATTGCTTAAATAGTGCTTTACTGCGAAGGATCGTGCACATATACGTTTCATAACCGCAGTTCATATATATGTATTTCATATATATTTGAAGTTGCTTTTTATTCGAAAAAAAAAAAAATACGATTTTAACATGAGAAGTTTAGGAAATCATTTTCCTCGGAAGAAGTGACTGAAGTTTCGACTTCCTTAGAGAAAATCGTCATCAGAATCACGTCACTTTATTTTGTCCTTCGAGTTTTGTCGGTCTGGTCCGTGAAAACTGATTGGACAGTTTTTCCGCCAGGTTCCATTGGCTCTCAAGACTCACGTAACGCAAGTCGGTCGTGATTGGCCAGTTCTGATCAAGCTTGCAAAACATGAACAAACAGCCTCCCCTTCCTGATTCCACATTTGTTCACAAAAATAGCGGCATCATTGAGTTCCTGGGTGCACATTGTTAAATATGATGTGACTAGGCATAATAGATTAAAATGAAAAGATAACCATCACAATTTTTCCAAGGACAAAGCATTTATTGGTAATAATATCTAATAAATGTGAATCCATTTTTGAATTGTTTCAGCTAACTGTTATAAGGCACTTAATTGACATGACACTGATCCTAGTCATGACTCAGGACCGCGAGTAATTAAAATAATGCGTGCTTACGTTGTCTACCATTCCCAGTGGTCTCATTTGACTTTGTATAAGGAGAATTCAATTTGTATTCGGTCTCCTTCTCGTACCTACCTCCGTGGATCAATGTTTTAACAGTAGCGTCCGTATCTGTCCAATCATCTGTTCTCATTTGCACTCTACTTCTCTCTTGGTAGTTTTTACCCCTCCCCCCCAGCTCACCCCCCATCCCAACCTATTTTCTCTCCAGTGCTTTTGAAGTTTCTACTTAAGGTCTCTCTTTTCTCTTTATACAAAAGCAAGTGAGACCGGTTTGAATAGGTTACTATTTCTAAAAAGCCAAAAAACTGAATATAATTATCACTATATTGAGAATAAGCTTTCATTATATCAGCAATTGTCAACAAGTTGTAACTGAATTCAAATTAAAGTCACAGCCAAGCCTTGCTCTTCAACCACAGGATTTGTATTACAGAAAAACTCGTTCGCACTGCACTACTTGGCACTGCACTACTTCACTGGGTCACTTGACTACTCTGGCTTTCAAAGCAATCGATCCGACCAGCTGCAATAATATAAGGCTGTCAATGTCATAAAAAAAGATCGCCATACTCACAATTAAAAGATGCAGCTCTATTCTAAAACCTGAAGGATTTCTCCATCAAACAGTGTCTTTCACTTATCAAGTTTTCGTTTAATCTGGCGTGACCGTACAGAGCGCTCGCCGCACCCAAGAGCAGTGTACAACATTTTTAACACCTCCCGTTGGTAACTGACGTCATAATCTTCCTGTTCTCCTAGCCAATTAGCAAAGACAAATGTTTGAGCCCTTTTACTGCCGGTCACTTCCATGGCTTTTTTTTTAGCTTCATTGCGTTCTTCAGAGTCCAATTTGTCGTCGTGGGTTAAAACGGTAACTATGGTAACACCTTCAAAAAAGAGAAAAAAGAAAAGAATGAATAATAGCTTTGCAACAAAGACAAAGCAAACTATTTAGCTACCAACTCCCACCTTCCATGTTTAATTTTTGCCTCACAAAATTGAACTTGTCCAGATAGTGGCCATTCACGAAACGAATGTCGTTAGCTTTGATTACCCATAGTGCCACGTGAACTTGGTCAGCAACCGGAGGCTTTTCGAGCCTGTGAGCACCTTGACCAGCTTCTTCGGCCATTTTTTCAGCCCAGTCTCCTCGCTCTATAAGCTGCCCCGCAGAAACGATGCCATATAAAATTCTGAAGAGTTCATCTAAAGGCAAAGGTATTATTTTCAGTGACTTTTTTTAAACATAACTGCAAGCTACGAAAATCATACAACAGAATATGTCGTTTGGTTTTTCTCTTCATGTACCTTTTATTCTCTCTTAACAGCCTCTTTTTTACTCTGATCGGAGTCAAAGGATTTTGTCAACTATTTACTATTTTTCTCATCCTAAGAATAATCTGAAATACGTATCTGTTTTAATCATACGCAATGGTTCTGTGTTTTTCCTTCTTCCCGGACTTGAAGTACGAACTTGGCAAGGTATTTTACACGGCATGCCTATATTGTAAAAATCATTAGCGACCATGTCACGGCCGTCAAATCGTGCGTTACACACTGCTTCCGCCTTTGGCGTAGAAACCGAAAGCTGAAATTGAAAAATGACGAACTTGATATCTTTTGCTTCCCATACGATAAATGAAATTCAGCTAATCTGAAAAAACTTTAAATTAACAGGGCCGTTACTTTCGCCGGATCGCTGGTCGGTTACAGCCGACTAGTGTTGTCAAATGAATAAAGGCTGATAGTTTCGAAAGAAACTGTTTGGGGCTGCGTCGGTGGGAGTAACGAAATAATTTGGATATATCAACAAAGTTAAAATGGTAAATTGGCCACCGTAATGATTGCAAAAGCTGACGTTTCGAGCGTTAGCCCTTCGTCGGAGCGAATTCGCTCTGACGAAGGGCTAACGCTCGAAACGTCAGCTTTTGCAATCATTACGGTGGCCAATTTACCATTTCAACTTTGTTGATATATCCAAATTATAGTGTTGTCAAAGAAGAGGATAAAAGCCCCCCTTAGCACGAAGATATCTCTCAGTTTGTTTTGCGATCACATGACGCAGTTAAAAAAAGATCTGATAAACTTAGCCCCAAACTCAATACCTACTTTCTTCAGCTCTGTTAAAATCGAAGTTAAAACCTCTGGTGTCATGGAAAACAAAGCCGCCACAGCCATCTTCTGACCCCGATCGCGAATGAAAATCCTCCAGTAATTGTGTTCCCTCGGCTCCAGATGACTGTTCTATTGCAGGAGCATTTTCTCGGCCGTATAAAGTCTTCCAAATCGTGTTAACAAGCGACGATTTCCCAGCACCTGTCATACCGAACACCGCCAGCCGTATCTGCATCCCTTCCATTTCTCCCTCGAGAGCGTCCGAGAACGAGTGCAAGCCTTCGATACTTCCAGCTCTATAGTTCTTGAGTTTTTCTCTGAGAGTACGGATTTCACAATCCAAATTATTGCTGGCCATTTCTGTTGATTGGCGTTATACCTTACTTCTTGAGTGAGTACCGAACATCGAACGTATCAATGTTTTCGCAGGGGATTCCTGGAACTGTAGCGATCACGTGACGCAAATGAAAGTAAACCACGAAGCCGGTAACCAGTTAGAAAACTCAGTTCCCAGAAAATTACCGGGATGGACAAGTTCGTGACACAAATAAAGATAAACCACAAAGCCAGTAACCGGTTGGAAAAATCAGCTCCCAGAAGGTTACCGGGATGGACAAGTTCGTCCCCATGGTCTCGCTGAATCTCAAACTTTGACGAGTGGGTGGAAAAATGTGATTGATTCGAATTACTACATTATGTCACTAGGGCATTGCGTGACATTCTGAAAGTTCAGTTGCTAAGGATATCTGAGATTTTCAAGCTCCCAGAGATAGATTTACCTTGGGTTATCCGAACTCTCAGTAAGAGCACTAGGAGACAAAATTGAGGATAAAAAAATGAATTCTTCATGCAAAGGAAAAAAAAAAGTCGGCAGTTTTTCCGTTCTTTACACCAACCGTGGGCTCGGAACCGAGTCGGAACACGCCTGGTATTAATACATGCACAGTGACATGCACAGTGACATACACATTGCAATAGTAGACTCGTGCTGTGGTTTTTCTGTAACATCTTTATTGGCGCATAGCATAATAATTATGTAAATATTATTAACTTGTGCGGTATCCTTGAACGAACACGCACGAACTTACTATCTTAGCAAAAAAATGCAGGTGTGCGAAGTGCATCAAGGAATACAGGTTCTCTACCATCTGTCCGAGACGACATGAATCTTTTGATCGAAATCCTTGCGCTGTTTACACTCAAAATACCTTTTATATTTTAAGTATCAACGCTTACATTCTTTCCTTTATTTAACTCGCATAAAAAAATACTATCTACACATTCCACTAGCTTTTCACCCTTGAACTCTCAGATATGACTAACATATAACTTCTTTTAATTTCGACACAATTGTCCCTCAAATACCTTAGGAGAAGAAACACCTCGTCAGTCGCAAGGTGTCACTTGATATAACACAAAATTCTCTTTACTAATAAACAAGATACTGTGCATAACCAGTGAAAGGAGGATTACTAACTAGAACTCAGCGGTTAAAAGATTACAAAACTTTCAAGCGAATAGTATGTCTCAGAACATAGCGTAGTTTTGTTTAATTTTATAGTGTTGATCATCTACGAAGTGCCATAACATTATCTTCACTCCTTTTTACTTGGCTGCAGGTGAACTCAAAACGATCTTTTAGTTGTTGCTATGTTCAAAGAACATGAAATCCTAAAAATTAATAAATAAATGAAGTAATTAGAATCAAGTAGATTCAATGTTGTGGTACGTCTGTTTAGTGAAAGATCCCGGATGACGACAAGACAAAGTTAGACGCCACCATTAACAAGACTTTGCTTCTTTTTTTACCATGAAATTAAAAGAATCCATTTTGAATGAATGAATAATGAATGAATGAATGAATAATGAATGAATGAATGAATGAATGAATTCCTTATTTATATTGCGCCTTTTCTATACAATATTCAAAGGCGCAGTACCCCCCATCAATTTGATAGACACTAGACAAAGATAGACCACAACACCGGCCACTGTTGACGTGCCTCACTCTTTTCGAACAGTGTGTGGGTTCTTTATCGTCCCACAAATTTTTTTATCACATACAAGGGCTTGTGAGACAGGACCTCCATTTATCGTCCCTATACGAGAAGACTAGAAAGTCTAACCATTTGCAGATATTATTACAAAAGGCAGCACTTTTTTCTCAGTTATTTAAAGACCCTGAGTGTTGGTCCGGCCGGATTTGAACTCACGACCTCCCGCACAACAGTCTGGCGCTCTACCAATTGAGCTAACCGGGAGGCGGTGAATTAGCACAGAAGTAGGTCACAGAACACGTCAAAACGAGGCTTACATTATCGACTGGCTTAAAACAGTTGATGAGGTGAGAGTCTAACTGACTTTCAAGAATCTCGGACAGAACGCACACACTGAACAAAACTATAACAGATTTAAAACAGAAAAGGTGTGCTCTGTACTTACAATGAGGAAGGTAGCTCCCATTAGTATGGCTTTGTACTTGACGTCCAGGTCCAGTGGGACTAAAAAAAAAGTGCGAAATAACTAACTGAAGAAAGAAAGCGTAACACAGCGAATAGAAAAAGAAAGGTCTGACCGCGTAAGCCTCTTCATCAAGCACTTGGGGCATATTTTAATCCTTTTTTTATATTTTTCTCACATTTCTTTGTTTTGTTTTTTGTTTTTATGTTAATCCATAGATATTTCCGATATTTTCATAAAAAATTTCCATCGCGCGCAATGACAGGAAATCATCAACTTCAATCCATGCAACATGGGGCGACGTTATAACACTTGACGGCGAGGTTACCCAACTTGACACTGGCGGCGAGGTTACCCAGCTTGGGTGACGTAATTTTACATGATGGTGAGATGAGACCACTTTTACCTGCTTTGGCAAAACCGGGGCTTGACCGCCCTCTAATATGAACACACCGAGATTTTTCTAAGGATGATTTGATGAAGTAAAATCTTAAAACTGATTTTCAAAGGAAAATATCTCCGTTTAGTCCTTACATCGCACGCCAAAGTTCTCAGCATCAGTAAAGAACTCCCTTGCGAATCCACTCCACTGCTTAGAGATCATTCCAATTTGATTGCTTCCATCCAAAGAATTTAGCTGTGGGAAAAATATGGTAACTCTTCAAATAGTGTATTTATGAAGTTTGGCGTGGCTAGTGAGTCACACACCTCAATATCAACAGCAAAAAAGAAACAAAAATACCACAGGTGGCCCAGACAAGCAACGAGTCTGGTTGTTTATTCGAAATATAAAGGAATGTATGGGAGAATATCCGAGTCTTATTATCGTAAACTTATATCATGAAATGTCTGAGTTAAAGGTCAAAATAAATGAAACCTACCTCACTTGCTGTGTATTGTCGTTTCTGTAGCTCTAAATGGCGAATTTAAGCGATTTGGTGGGTTTTGCGTCGACTGTAACGTATAGTAACAGTCGACGCAAAACCCACCAAATCGCTTAAATTCGCCATTTTGAGCCACAGAAACGACAATACACAGCAAGTGAGGTAGGTTTACGTGTATTTTGAGCTTTAACTCAGACATTTCATGATATAAGTTTACGATAATAAGACTCTTTAATATTCTCCCATACATTCCTTTATATTTCGAATAAACAACCAGACTCGTCGCTTGTCTGGGCCCCCTGTGAAAATACAAACAAAGAATTGAAGAAACAAAACGATAAAAAAAAAAAAGACGTATACAACTCGGAAACCTTTAAAAACATTAACCACGGACATTGTCAGTTGCCCACCCCTTCTCCCTTTTCACTCATCTAATCACACTAGGCTGCAGAATAAGCAATACTCAACTCACTGGGAATTCAACATCCGATCCACAACTACAAGGACAGCATGGTCCATTGACTACCATGATGGGTTGCCGCTGTGCATCTTGAACCTCTAATTTGGCTTTCCACAATGTCCACCTGCAGTCAAAAAAATGAATAATGAAGTGTAAGTACAGGGCAGGGGCAAAGTAGTTGAAGTAAGACAGACTACTGCATGGCCAAGCTGCATCATGGCCAAGTTGTACAGGTATTATAGCTAAGCCATAGTATGGCCGAGTATTTTGGGTGTGGTGGAACTGCATTAAGGAAGAAAAGCTTGGGTGTAGATACACTGTAGCATGGCTGAGTGTTTGGGTGTAGCTAGAGATAAGGGGGCTGGGTTTATAATCAGGTGGTTCCTGTTCATGCCTTCCATCGTGCTACCCACTTTGTATGTTTGCCTCGATCCTTCCATTTGAAATTTTTTTTTTTCAACTTCACATTTATTTGGAATATTCAATTCACTGTTTGCACACTGCGCTCTAGATCAAAGGGTCCTAGTTCAAGGGTTGGATGAGCTCATAAGTGACACACATTCCACAAACAGTTCAGATTAGTACTTGCAAAAGCTTTGGGTGGGTAAATAGAATAACAAAGATTGTAACTTTTAGGCTCAGAAATGAAATGAAGATGTTTTACAATATTCACTAACTTCTGTTCCACATAACCAATGACTGTCCCTGGTGGGGACTGTATTTCAATCTCCTGAAGACAACATGGACAACAGCAGCACTGGCAATTGAGGGGTCGGGAAAGGTGTATCACTTCTCTCTGCAGGTTGTCAAAAACTCTCATTTCAAATGGTCGTGCAGGACCACAGCACTGTCGGGTGCAACAGTCAGTGTCTGCAAAAGCACCAATAGTACTAATAATGTATAAAATTTTCCTTTAATTTACAATTACAGAGAATAGAAATAAACAACACTATATCAAGTGCATCTATTCTCAGGGATTGTACTAAAATTAATTATCATCAGTTAGTTAATTAATACTTAACTTAATATTTTAGTATTAATTAATAATTATTTTATTGATATTTTATTATTTGATTAATTTTTTTATCAAATTTGTAGCATACCATGTGTGTTAGAGTGTTCCCAACTAGTGCCTCGGCACTAGAATGACTAGACACAGAAATAAAGGTTATGTATGCATATATGTAGGTAGTAAAATTACCTTCAGCAGCAAAATATACTTGTTGACCCATGGCATTACATATCTTGTATTTGTTGTTAGTTTCAAATCCTGTGAAAGCTAAGAAGAAAGGAAGAGAAATTAAAAACATGAATTATGGTATAATGCCTAAGTTATACTGGTTTGGCCATCAAGGGAAATGAACCACAGTCAACCAGCTGGAAGTCACTTGTATAAGGTTATCTACTTGATCCTAAAAGAATAAAAGGCTCCTCAGAACAACCTCATGGTATGAATTTTTGGCACCCTTGACGTAACCTGTGATCTGGCTTTCTTTGGAAAGTTTTTTTGATTGTGGGCAACACATGCTGGCACAATTCTTGTGTTTCACACTAACCAATTTGCAGTAAGCTTAAACTCACTTCATATTTGTGGTGTTGTGTAAATTTGCTTTTAATGTTTTATAAAATAACAATAAACAAACAAACAAACAAACAAACAAACAATATGATGAATAAAATACGTTTTATCCCAAAAGCTATTCAAGTAAATTAAGAGGTGTTCTCTTAAGTTTTGAAAACAAAAGCCTTGTATGCACTCACGTTTTCTACACACTGTGAAAACAAGCCTTTTGAGGTCGGGGCCGAGCCTAGATGACTTTGTGCCAAATGTATGACCTCAAATGGAAATAAAACTTTACTTCTGGGCGCTGTCGCCATCCTGAAAAGTCTCTTTGCTAAAGGTCCCTATTGCCATCACAGATGTGACTTCAAATGTTTTTCACAAACTCACATAGTTATAACTCCTAGCTTGGTCACCTGATATTTCACTTAGCTCAGGAATCTTAACCCAGATAGAACAAAAGTATCCCATTACGCCTTCCGGATAGCTCAATTGGTTAGAGCGCTGGACTGTTGTGCGGGAGGTCGAGGTCGATGATTCGAGCCCAGGCCGGACCAACACTCAAGGTCTTAAAATAACTGTGGAGAATGTGCTACCTTTCTATAATATCAAGAAATGGATAGACATTCTAGTCTTCTCGGATAAGGACGAATAAACCGTAGGTCCCGTCTCCTGGATCTTGTAATTAGTTAACTTGGTTAGGCAGGGGCGTTAAAGAACCCACTCATGAGATTACTGTGATGTGGTCTGGCCTGTTTACTGGGAACTGGGGGGAGGGGGCATCTTCAAATAAGTTTCCTTTGATTGTTTGTACACTGCTGATGCAGTCTGGCCAAAGTCCCCCGAAAAGTGTTGTGATGCGCATTTGATCATATCCACACGTTAATTTGTGCAATATAAACATTAAATTATTATTATTATTATAATTATTACTAGCTCAGAAACAATTGTTATAATATTCTTTATATGAGGCTGTCAAAAATTTTCATCTAAAGGTTGTAGGGACATGTGGTGACATTCACAGTAACCCTTTATAACCAGTCTTACTGTTAAAATATGTTTAAGGTCACTCTCTTTATGCTTCTAATGTCACTTCTTTGTAGAGCCTGTTGACTTCAATTTATGGTTGCAGGATGATATTTAAAGTTGTGACTAAGATAAAAAATTTCTTCTTTCTTTAACTTACCTTCTAGAAGCTCAACCTGTTGTTGTATGAGTAGCTGATCAACTGCTGTCAGGTATTCCAATCCTGGAGGGCACCCCACTGGCACCTGAGGAGCAGGCATCCAATTCACCTGTCCAGGAGCTCCTACAAAAATTGTCAAAATCACAGATCATGGCATGTTAATCTTACACAATCTAGCTTGAATTTCTTAAGTTTGCCACTTGCATCTTCCCTTTTCTAAACCATTCCTTCCCCTTCTGTGGTTAAACCTTTGACCCTTACAAGTGATCAGCATCTAATTTCTCCTTACAATATTGTCATGGTATGCCTGTGGTCTCGCATCACATGATGCGCAGAAACTACATGAGTCCTTCATTGGGATACAATGCTGCTTATGCAGAGCACGAGAAACAGTAGGCTAGAGCACGAGAAACAGTAGGCTAGGCATAAATGCAGAAATCACTAACTTCATCCATAAATGTGACATCTGCATGTCATTTCAGAGTTGCCAGACCAAAGAATCGCTCATTTCCCATGAGCCCCCATCAAGGCCCTGTGAGAAAGTTGCTACGGATATCTTCACACTGGACGACAAAAGCTATCTGTGTAGTGTAGACTACTATTCTGGGTACTTTGAAGTGGATCAGTCACACAGCAAAACAGGATCTACCATCATAAAGAACCTGAAGAAACATTTTGCTACCCCCGGAATTATTACCTAATTCACTGCTAAGTGACAATGGACCGCCTTTTTCCTCTGCTGAATTTGAGAACTTTGTGTACTCGTCTGGAACTAACCACATAACCAGCTCTCCCAGCTATCCCCAAAGCAATGGGTGGGTAGAAAATGCAGTAAAAACCACAAAGAACTTACTTAAGAAGGCCAAAGAATCAGGAGCAGATTACTATCTCTCCCCACTCAGCTAGCAAAATACCCCAATGGAAGGTTTGAGCACCTCCCTAGCGCAGCGTATGTTCGGGCGATGTACCCAAACCCAGCTACCCACAGCCGAAACACTGCTGAAGTTGCTAACTCCGGAAGCAACTACAACAAGAGAGCAGATACTCAGAATGAAAGGAAAACAAGCCTTCTATTATGATAAGAACTCCAAGGAGCTATAATAATAACAATCTTTTAATAGGAAGCTCCATCACAATAGTGGTTTACATAGAGGTCCTAAATACTAGATCTGTATTATATAAAAATACAATTAAAATATAGAAAATTGAGCTAAAATCGAAATATAAAAGTGATTACAACATATACACTGTAAACATTAATTAAAGAAAAACTTAATTATAAAAAGCAGAAAAAAGACACTTCTTAAAAATTGGCAAACTTACTGAGTTTCTTACAGTTCTCTCTAACTCATTAAAGTCTTTGAAACAGTGATACCGCAAACCATGTTTTCCCCAATTGTATTTGATTTTGGGGAGCTTTATAGTATTGTTATTGCGCGTATTGTAGGAGTGCATATCACTCTTTCTTACAATGTCCAAAGAATGATTAATTTCACCATTAATACACTTATATGCATATATACATCGATGACATTTCCTACATTCTTCACTGTTCTTTTCACCGTTGGTGAAAGGGGAAAGTGTCAGAGTTGTCCCACTGCCCAGTGATAGGAACTAGAAGTGGTTCAAAGCAGAAGTAGATGAGCCAGCTGATACACGGTCCTATAATGTTAGGACAGAAGATGGAAGAATTCTCCGCAGAAACTGTAGACACCTTTGCAGGAGCAGAGAGTCATTTTACTGGCCCCAAAGTAGTGAGGCTCCAACAGATCTACCCTCACAACAGCAGTCACCCTCTCCACAGAAAGCCCAAACCCCTCAGTTACCAAAAGATCAGTCACTACCAGCAATGCCAACTCAAGAGGACCAGCCTGGACAGTCAAGCACATGCCCTGTGGTAATACCAACCAAGGCCCAGCCTCCGAGCACCACAACCAACAAACCCAACCAGGCAAACCTGTGACCACAAGGGCTGGACGCGTATCATATCTCCCCTGCTTATTTAAAGGACTATGATTAAACGTTCTGATCTGCTAAACATAGGAGACTGTAAAGTTTTAAGTAAGACACTGAACACTTCAGAGTTTTCCAATTGCTGTTCATGCTGTTGTTTTGTTCTGACTAGTTTTCCACACTCGTGCTATACAGTTTCTCTGAGGAGAAAAGGTGTCATGGTATGCCTGTGGTCTTGAGTCATGTGATGCGCAGGAAACCATGTGCTTCAAGTTGTTGTTCTGAGGTGGCCATTAAAACCTGTTAACTATTGCCTTTAGTGTCTTTCTTTAGTCTTTGGGACCATTATCGTTACAAATATCACCCCCAAATCAAACACTAAGGTCAAGATAATAAAGGGATAAGATCACAGACTAAAGAAGCTCTTGATGATTAACCAAATTATCTTTATCAGCACCCTAGGAAATGAACAGAGATCAGTATGGAGAATATGTGTACTGATATTAGGTACACCATCTCTTTTTCGGTTTCTCTATCTTTTTAAACAAACATTTTATTGTTTTCTCCATACTGAACTCCAACTACCAACAGTTCACAAAAGCAGGGAGTTTCAGTTACATAAAGATTGTATTAAATAAGTCTTAAGTTAGCAAGGCTCGATGCACTGCCGGCAGTTTTGCTGGGTATAAAAGGTCACCTAAAATATCATTTCAGAGCCCCTTCAAAGTGGCCAAACATGTTACAAACAGACACAGGGCCATAGGCTCTGTCATATTTCTACTTCTGTGAAAAACAAAACAACCAGATAACAGAAACATTGTCTCCCAATTTACAAAACAATGCCACTGCCTCACTGAGCAACCAAAATCAATTTCATAAAATGTGGAAAGCAGCTTAATTTCTCTGGCACCAGTTCTTTTCCTGTGTTTCTAGTTCATATCTCTCTTGCACATATGCAACTCGCACAGGCAAAACATGAGGATGAAGCA